AAGCATTCCTGGCATCAAGGCCATATTAAAAACAAGATGGATTTTTCACATTTTTTCTCACTTTCAAAAACGGTCACACTGGCTGCACCAAAGCCATTTTGGTGAGGTCAAGGGAGTTGTAATAGTACATCTGTCAAATAGAAATCTGTTCATAAATAACTAACCTATCTATTGAATATTTAACTGTAATCTGATTGGTCAAAGCATATGGTTTGTATGTATTTTTCCTAAAAGAGACTGAAGTACTGCACGTACAGCATGTTTGTTTTGGTTCACTTGGGCACTGCACCTTCAGCTTCCGCTCAAACCACAATCTGGAAAGTCTTACAAAACAGATCATTATCACAGTTGGTTATTTCTGCATTTGAAACTTCTATTTGAAAAAGCATCAGTTAAATTATTGTTGTATGCTGTCCATACAGTTTTTAATTTCTTTGTTGCATGTTTGATGTGTCAGTCTCTCCTCTATATTTAAATGTAAAATGCACATTTCTGTGTCTTTTCTGTAAAGCACACATTTGCCTTGAGCCTGGTTAAAAATAGGCGCAGATGGAGCCAGTGTCTTATTGAGATTCAAGACAAGAGCAGAGGACAAGACACAAATACTGATTTGAGATATTATATGCCAGGGTTTAACATCACTGAGGACTGCCTGAAATTCCCATTCTATCATTCAATAAAGACACATTTAGTTGGGAGTAAATGGTGATCTTCTGTGTTATGCTTACATTATACCAGATGAGGCTGGGATTTAGAAATTGCTCAAAAGCTACTATGACCAATCTGGATGAGCTACTCCACCAAACTCTAATAACTGGGACTGGAGTTGGGTCGATGTTGGAAATCATCCCAGCAGAGGAAGAAGTAGCCTAGGTGGATGATGTGACTGTGGTTTCAGAAGAATAACCTTCTTCTAAAATACACTGTGAGGACAATACCGCAATGGACAACACAGTATCATTAAATGTACTAGAGACTTCAGCCGACCCTCCAGAAGAGGAAAAGTGATACATAAAGAAGAGAAATGAGAGAAAAAAGGGGAAAAAACAAACTGCTGAAGTTACTGAGGAGGTCCAGGTTTCTCACAAGTCTTCAACAATTTCCCGGGACACAGAGTCAAATACGTTTGAAGAGAACTGAAGAGCTCCAGTTAAGATCACAGCGACTCAAGAGGATTTCAGAATGGGTGAAAGTATGACGCATCACCAGTCGAGTCAAGTGAGACCAGGTCATCTGATCCCAGTGGAACAATAGGAGAGGCTCAAGTTGAGGTGGCCAGAAGTGAAAGTGAAACACCAAATTATACAGAAGTTTCCCTGAACAGTGTGGATGAGCCATCACAGCCAGAAACAAAAACCAAGAATCAAACAACTAAAACATAACAGAGACTGGAAATTAGGGGCTGCACAGAAACCAGAATGATTTTTCTGTCATCAACCCAGGAAAGGAGTTAGTCACAGTAAATGATAAGCCCAATGACCCAACCACACAGGTTGAGGTGCCCAAACTTGATTTTACACTGAATGATACTGTCAGGCAAAACAGGTTCAAACTATGGACCCAACAGTTCAAAACACCACCAACTAAAAGTCAAAGAAAAATTTAAACATGGAAATGAATCAGTAAAGAAACGGGAATGCAATCTGCAACAATGACCAATATATAACACTTGTCTTGATCCCGGCAGAGGAAGGAGAAGAAAAATACAACTAAAGTCAAATGAAAAGAGACCTGAGAAGACAAAATAGAGAAAGGATAACAGTTGATGACACAGCCTATGCAGAGGACACCAGCAGGGAGAGGAGGAGGAACAGGAGACGTTAGACCATGAGAACATAGAGAGGACCACTTGAGACCTGAAGTTTTATCTGCAAATAAACAGTCTTTTCTCTCTAATGTATATCAATTATATGTTCACATTGTCAATCTGATTTGGAGTAATTTGGGTTAAATTAATTATGCACTTGCTTTTTTAGATCACTGCGAATACAAACACACAAACAAACAATTTTTGAAAGTGTTTCTGTGATTGTACAAAACCTTACATTTCTTATACATTATATAGGAGTTTGAATGTCTGAGAGTCATCATAAAGAATTTCTCTTATATGCAGAACAAATTTGAAAATAAAACTCAAAGACAATTTTCCACTGTGAGGCTCATATTACTAATGATAAAAAGCTGAGATCATTTCCAAATTTCAAGTAGATGAATGAGTCAAATGAGGTACAGCAGTGATGATGAAATAGCACTGTTCCTATTGTGTGGTTATTTTGTTTGAAGATGCCCTGTGACCATTGTGTAAAATATTTAGTAAATACCTGTCCTGAAAAATTGTGTTTCCAAAAAATTGTTTATCGTTTAAGCTAATAATAGTCCAGGTAAATTACTATAATGGCAAAGTACAGCACGTACAGTCAGAACACAATGAGAAAACCGGGACAGACAGAATGTAGAGTTGTAGAGGAAAATAATAGTCATTATGAGCTGCAGGCTGGCGAGCGTGCCAAAATGAACTGTTTGCACGTTAATGCTATTGAGAACACTGCAAGGGCCAAAGTTTATATTCATTTTAGCAGTAATTGTGGAGAAATTGAAACTCTTCACAGCAGCCAAGAGCTCTGCCCCATTACAAGAAGGATGCCCACTTCACTCTGATCTTTGGTTCAAGCCTGACTGTGGTTGACATGACTTATTTTGAGCTATAGGTTGTAAATACATGTTTCAGTGCACATACCAACAGCTCTGCCTATTTATTTAGACTGTTTTTACACCATATACTAAATGCCAGTACTGTCTACATTATCCAAAAATCCCTTCAGATTTTAACATGCAAATCCAGCTTCGACATGTAATATAGATCTTGTTTTTCACCAATTGGCGATGTCAGGGGCGATGTAAGGGAACATGAAAGCTCTTTGAAGTTATTCGATTTTATGAATAAACTGTGAGAGGAACAGACTGAGCCTTTTTGGTTAGATCTGTGGAGAAACATTTACACATGAAAGCTCCACATAATGACATGAAACTACAGCTACACCTGAGGAGCGGAGAAGAGGAGAGACAGTGCAAAGGTATGGTTCAAACCAGACAATACAATAAGACGGTGATGTATTTAAGGGAATAATATCTCATTCCTGTCTGGTCACTGCTGTCTGAAGTAGTTCTGTTGCTTTTTCCACTGGGTCTCTCATTGCAAACTATGTATGGATTACCTGGAGGATTATTTAGTGTGTCTTAATTTAATATGGAAAACAAGAGCACATTTAGACAGGGTTTTATGTTTCATTTTGATCTTTCTACTTAATATAAAGGCACACGAGCTTACATATATTTTCTCATATTCAGGGTCTGCCATCTGCTTGTTTCTTCATATAGTATGCCTGAAATTTGAGGCATAAAAAAAAAAAAAAAAGAAAAACTTGGAGATACAGAAGTTTAGTGACATTCTGTTTCATTTCAGGCAAAGCAGGTGACAGTCCCTCCCTAAGAAAATATACATAGCACATTTTTGTTTCTCAAATAAACTAAAACACTGGCTATAGAAGCACATTTTTTGCCAACTTGTTCATAATGATGCCTGGCAGAACAAAATGTGTCACAAAATGTCATGACATTTATAAATCTGCAAATAAGACCACTACATTGTATTACATCAATTTTCTGTTTGACAAATTATGTTTACTTTTAGCTCTGGCTTGGGGACACCATGATTAATTTACAAACGGAAGTGGACTGTTATTTAATCAGTTGATTCTAAATTTAATAAAAAAAACAATAACAAATCTATTCTTTGTTAAAATTACACAAAAAGATTTGTGGAACATCAGATTCAAGTGTCGTGGTTGCTGCGGAGACGAGCGGTCACTGTGACAGTGAGAAGATTGCACTTCCTATGAAGAGAGAATGAAACAATAGCCCATAAACTTAATTCCATAAATTATATGCCAAATAAATTGGCAATAAGGCAGCAAATCAAATCACAGCATAAACAAAGTAAAAAAAAAAAAAACTCTGGTTGAATCTGATTAAAGATAAGAGTTATCAGGAGAAATAAAAATTAATAATTATAATTCATGTTTTCATGCTGTGGTTAGACATGAAATATTTAGTATTCCCACACACACACAAAGATTACTGTGGGTTTGGGTTTAGATGTAAGAAATCAGAAACAACAAAAAAGGGTGTGGGGAAGCTGGCCAAAGTGGTCGAAGTAGGAGGCAGATGACACAAAAAAAAAAAAGGTGTCTTACGCAGACAAAATTAATTTTAAAAAAACAGACTTCTGGGTTTAACCAACAAAAATACAAATAGACAAAAAATAAGTAACTCAAAGCAAAACACCAAATACCTGCACAGAAGTCTTCCCTAATTGGTGACACCTGCTTGCCTTTTATACTCCGCCCACAGGAAGCACCTCCCCCAGGTGAGTAACAATTCCAGGTAAAGCAAAGCAAAAGGTGTCTTTTCAAAATCAAAATGTTTAACATAAACTAAGGTGAATTTAAAATAAGACAAAGGCCCACTTTGTCACAAAGGGGAAAAATATGTCATGGTAGAAAAATGTACTGTAAGATGTATAATTTAAAGGAAATAAGGATGCTAATCTCAAATTAAATAAACTTGCAAAAGATTTGTTTACTGATATGTATACACTCTTTACCAAAAAGACACTAGTACAGTGGATCTTCTGGTGCTGCACTGCTCCTCACTGTCACCCCACAACACTGAAGAATTTGATCAAATACACAGGACACATAACCATGCTATCTGGATGAATATATCAAAATGGAACACTGCTTGCAAACTGAAGTGTGCCAATCCAAGAATAGAGGCACAGGATATAAATAAATAAATATTAAAGTATGACTTTGTAGAACCTTTGGTGAAGGATATTTTCAGATCCCAATTATCAGCTGTCTGTTCAGTGAGATGTGTTGGTCTGCTCTTAGTGGTCATTTACGTCACTACAAAACAACGTGGGCACAAATCTGTTTTTTCAAAGCAACATCCATTTATTACAAAATACTTTTCATTTCATTAAATACCAGGAGGTGACAGTAAATTATATGCATTTATGAAGGGAAAAACATACACTTTATAATGACTATAATGAAGGTCATACTGGCACGTAAATAAATTCCTCCCTCAACCTGAAAGTGTGAAAAGGTCTGAACACAAATTATATATGAAATAAGAAACATCATATTTTTGCATAAAGTTTTCACTATTTATCACATTTACTGTATATTTGAGATATTCTATGTATAAAATATAAAATAAACTGTAAGGCCCCAAGTTTGACTGCATGATATACACATTTAACACGTATATATTTTTATTTTTTAATACTTCTCTACCACTTTTATGTACATATGTGTATGCATTATGCTATATGTTATTTCTCACCTCAAACTACTATGCTCTTTGATATTTATATGCAATAATCTATTATCTAAAAAAAAAAAAACAATGACATATGTTGACTAGTTTAGCTTCTCATCAAAGCCTAGCAAAGTAAGATATTTATTTGGCAGTATTTCTTTCTTAAAGGCTCATATGCTCATACGCTATTCTCTGATCTCTTCTAAAGTTGTTTCCTCATCACAAAATATCTGGAGTTGTGTTGTTTCATTCACACATAAAACACACAACCCTGCATATTATGGCTGAGTTCTTCTCTCAAATAGAAAACACTCTGTGACACCTTGTGATGTCATGTGGTAATACAGGAAGTGCTCCACTGTGTTTTTAAACTCCATACACCTTCACAAGAATAATCTGGATGATTTCAGACCTGGAATTGCCAATCTCTACTGAACTACAGGTAAAAGGTAGCTGTTAACTTGTAAACTATCACTACATGACATCACAAGGTGGAACAGTGCATTTTGAGCTTTGGAGATGTAGACAGTCAACTACGGGTAGTTTTTGAGGAGGTAACAACATTCCAACACAACTAGAAGTTCACATGAGTCAATTTTGCGTAATATAGGACCTATAATTTATTTGCTTAAAGGCAGAATAATTTGCAATGTAATGACTGGATTCTGCCAACATTTCCAGGCAGTTTGACTAGGAATAAAATGAGTAAGGGTACATTACTATTGTGATATTAGACCTCACATCACTAGTCAACAAATAATTAAGTGGATTCTTAATCATGTTGCAATTTACAGAACAATATAGTGTTTTTTAGTCATTCCAAAACAGGCCAGTCACAAGATGTAATAAAAGGCACAAATTATGAGACAATTCTTTACAATTATGGGATACAAATAATTTCCCCTACACTAAAACTCCCCTAATTTAAATACTGATCTCAGCCAATTGCATTCACTTTATTAAGTGTCTACACTGTGTATTTAAGTGTGCTTACATAATATTGTATAGCATTTGGTCCAACATTTGAATACTTTTTCCATGGCTTTTTGTTAATAAATTCAACTTTAAGGTGCACAAAATGTCTTTACAGTTCGTCTCGCTGGTTAGTGTCACGGAGCCAGTTGTTGTAAACAGCAATGGGGTCGATGTTCCAGTGTTTGTGAAATGAAATCGCCTCCTTTGAAGACAGAAGTGCCTCTGCGTAGTCATCTGGCCGGGCCTAAAATTACACAAAAATTATCAAATTATTTTGTGCATGTTACATAAATAAATTGTGCACTATGTAAGTTTTCCAGTGGAGGATTCACAATCTGCTTGTCTCCATAGATGTTATTGCTTTGCCTGGGATGTCCACAGTATGGCACTGTACACAATGTATTGACACAAGCAGATGACATTAGCACATTACAGGTCAGATCTGTGGAGAGTCTGCTCAAAGCAAGAATGCCTGTTTTTCAAGGTATTTCTGAGTAATAAATACCTGTAACTGAATGAACACAAGACCGATAAGTTTAATGCCATGCAGAGGAACATACCAAACAAAGCAATAATCTCTATGAAGACAAGGAGGTGGTGGACTGTCTACCAGGCAAGTTACATAGTGCATTTTAAACAAATACTATGCTTAACTGAAGGGTGTAACTTTTTGGTTGGGAGTCATCACCTGCTTGTTTCTATGGAGATATCTTTTTTGCCTGGAATGTTCCACAGTATGACATTAAATAGCTGGTCCTTACATTTATTCAGTTACAAGTGGTTTTATAGCTCAAAATTACCAAGAAAAACAGGCATTCTGACTGTTAGCAGGGTTGCCTCTCCACAGATCTGACCTGTAACTTGGCCTGGCTTGGTCTCTATAAAGATTGCAATGTTTCACAGTGTGGCATTAAACCTTTCTGTTGAAGCCATAACATCTTCATGGAGAAAAGCATAAGCATTTTTTACATGCAATGCACCTTTAAAACTGAATAATAAAAGTTATATTTGTTTTTGTTTGTAATCCTCTCCTTTTGCAATTTTATTCTATTACAAAAATGTCAAAATGTACTTGATATTATTTACTAAACTGACACGAGATTAAAAGGGTTGCATTCTTTCTTAATCTGAGAGAAAGGAAATCAATATAGTTTTAAATTGCAGTCTCTGTCTAAAATGGCTGGTGCTTTAAGACAAGGATATTATCAGCTGCAGTGAGCTGAAGCAAAGTAGTTACAGACAAGTGCACGAAGAGTTTGGTGAGCTACACTGGGATATGTGAAATCAATATAGACATTTTAATGAGACAGTACAAGAATTTGTGGTTAAGTTTTAGCCTCTGCTGTTGAAATGGTACACAACTGTCAATAAAATGTATGACTATCCAGAAAAATAACAGTATCTGAAGGTGTAGAAGGCTTATATAAAACAATAAAACATATTCTTGTGGTAACATGACTATTTCACATCCGATGTCCAGTGCATGGACTTCCAATGTTAGTCTTTGGTGGAAACAAGAAATGGCAAATAAGCATCACAGATATTAGCAATATGCAATGGTGGAATATAGTAGTAAAGTACTGTACTTAAGTAAGTACTCTGTGCTTTACCTAAGTAGATTTTAAAGAGGATACTTTTTACTTTCACTTTAATACATTTGAAAGGATGGGACTGAAAAGTAAAAGTGTTTTTTACAGTTTAAGACGTGCTGAAAAGGCAGTGTGGTTTATTTTTTATTTATTTCTTTTTTAACATATTTGTAGTTTCAAAAAACTATATACAAATAAAAACAGCAAGAAAAAAATCTATTATTTCTGTTGAACAAAATTCAGCACAAATCTTTATCAACATTTGAAGCCTTATAAGAACTCAAAATCAGTGCAAAATACTTTTACTTTTTACTCTTTAGGTATATATTTAAACTGGTACTTTGATACTTTTATTTGAGTAGATTTTCATGTGGTACTATTACAATTACTTGAGAATTTTTTTTTACTCCAATATCTGTACTTTTACTTAAGTAACAAAATCACGTACTTCTTCCACCACTGGCAATACAACATTAACAGAGACTTCACTTTTAGTGTAAGGTATGCGTCTCATGAAAGTACTAGAATATATGTGCATGTCAGTGCATATAAAACAACACTACATTTTCTATGGGACCAAAGACTGTAAAAAAACATGTTCTCAGATTTCTGCAGTGGGTACAGACATTTCTCTTATCCGTGGTACACAGAAGGATTGCTGTAAACTTTGACGAGAGGAACAAGAGTTTCAGCGGAGGCAGAGAAGAGGCGTACTTCAGGAGAATCTACAGTCTGTCTCCTCACACAAACCCACAGCTATACTCCTTTATGGAAGATAATTTGTCTCATCAGATCTTGAACTTTAAATGCCACTGAATTTCTCACTTTGAATTTTTTAACTCTGAAAAAACATGCTTGAATTATTTTCATTCTGAATTTCAGTTGGTTTATTTTTAAGTATATATTTTCAGTGTGTTTAAAAATTCAAAATAAACCATTCACCATTTAAATATTCACAAATGTTTTCAAGCCTTCAAATTCAACAATAAAAATTGAGAATGTAAAATGTGAATTAAAAACACAGAGCAAGAGGCCAAGGCATAAGCAATCCATTGTGTGACTGAAAACAGAGGCAAGCTGTTTTCTATTGTTTTGTTGTTCACTCATCAAAAACATCCCTGAAGAGTTTTTAGATGTCATCCATGCATGTAGGCGTAATTTGAGAAATCTCAAAAATCTCTCCCAAGTCTTATTTGGACCCTCTTTATAGTCAGTTATGAGTTTCTGCCCAATGCTCAGCCCACAAGCCTATGTGAAAAAACTAGTTACCTCTAACTAGTTTTAGAATGGTTTTCTATATCATAACGAGTACAAAATCACATGGTAATTAAGTTGAAATTACATTCTATTGTCTAAAAAATAGTTGTCAAAATGGTTGAGTCTGAAGCATTACCCTTAGTACAAAAATAAATATTCAATATTTAGTAATAGTTAGATAGCAACACCCCAGGTTGTGTATAGTGGTTACTATGGTTACCTGGTGGAAGAGTGGGTTGTGTGTGACAGGGATGTCCAGAGTTTTGAGGCACATTCCCAGCTCCATGTCATCAGGAGCATCTAGAGTGTAACAGCTGCAGCCGCTGGACACGATCTCAGACACAGCCACGCGACTCAGCACCATCCTGGAAACAACAGCAGCAGTATGCTTCAATACACTAAAGGCTCATCAAAATACTATGGAGCTGATCCATATCCATGGGCTTCAGAGTTATGAAAAAGCACTGTTGTCATAAAAAATAATATATCTTATGAATGAATGGTGAAAAGTACTCAGAATGGTGCATATGAACAGGATTCTGAAACCCAGAATAGTTAACAGATTCTCAGACTGTAGAAAAGACTAGACTAGAGGGGCAAAGGCTACTCTATCCAGGTCAGTCATTATGGGACACCTTGGCTGAGCCAGTAACAGACAAGGGTTATTGTCCTTTGCCCGTTTTATCTTCACAATTATTATTTTTCCTTGCAAATGATCAAGGTTTTGAGGGCCTAAACATCGATGAAAATCCCCAAACTAGGTATGGGATTGATTGGTCCGGTGAAAATTTGATAAAATGGGCATTGTGACAATGCCCAAAGTGACCCGACTCAATAGCTAGCACAACAATAACAATAACAGCACCTAGAAGTGGACCCCTATGGGAGTGGGAACAAGCAAAGTTTGGTATAGGCAACTGAAATTTGGAACAGTGATAGCGAATAACAGAACAGAAAGTTGGCCATATTGGATAAAAAATTCACCACCGTTTTGATTGTGTGTTTGTAAAATGCTATTAGTCCGTTTTCTGGTCCAAATCAGCTCACATTTAGCACATCTCATCTAGAGACAGGTTCAAAAAAATTATCATTTTTTTTGGGAGCACGCCAAAGATAAACGCCTTAATTTCATGTTTCTTTAATGACTTCTCACAGCCACAGGCATTGGTCTAGAGATTCTGAAATTCAAATCACAACTGAGTGATCCTGGACTGAATGTAATGGACTATAAAGACTAATACAACTGAACACTATAGCGAGCCTACCATAGACATGAAAAGCCAGCATTATCGGAGTTGTACTAAATTTGGATATATATATATATATGTATATATATATATATATATATATATATATATATATATATATATATATATATATATATATATATATATATATATATATATATAATCAAGTGGCAGGCATACAAATGTTTTGACATGTGAAACAATACCGGAGACATTTAAGAGAACAACATGATGTTAAAAATTATTTATTTTTATTTTTTTCATAATGCAAAGGGCTAAGTGTAATGTTTGGTGCTTCAGTGCTGGTCATAGCGCTGGTAGTAGCACTGGAGCACCCTCCTCTGCTCCTTCAGTACAGTTACTTCTTTTGGGCGGCTGGATTGCTGTGCTCTTTCACTTTCACAACTGTGCTGTAAGTGTGTGTGTGTCATCTTTTCAAGGACTTTACTGTTGCTGGATAGCTCTTGTTTGAGCTGGACGCTATCTCTCACTAAACTGTTATACAGATATCGGATCTTCTTGTATGCATTCATTTGGGTCTCCAGCTCTTTGCCTTTCTTCTGGAAAGATGCTTTGATTTCTTGCATCTCCAAGTCATCAGTCTTATTCCTGATTTTTTGGAGTTTGCAAACTCTTGCTTCAGCTGCACATTTTCCTGTACTGTAGAGTGAATCTGGTCATGCAATTGCTTGTCTTTCTTCTTGAGATAATCATAGAGTTTTTTCAACTCTTACATCTTTTTCTTGGTCGATTCTCTCCTGAGACTTAAGCTTAACATCTAAAGAATTGTTTATTTGGACCTGATCTGCAAATCTGGCCCTTGTTCGCTTCAACTCTTCATGGAGCGCCCTGACCAGAATGCTCTTCTTCATGGGTGGAAGGTCCTGGACCAGGGGTGGAAGATCTTGGACCAGGGGTGGAAGTACCTGGACCAGAATTCTGTCCAGGGATACCAGGGCTTTGTTGAGAAAAATGTAGAGCTCTCCATGTTTATGTGTGTGTTCACTAGTGTGCCCAGAGGTTATGAGCCAAACAAAAATAGTGTCTCTCTAGAACAGTTTTAATTTTCATGGTGATCTAGGATTCTGTATTCTAATTATGAATTATTAGCAAATTACAAAGTAACTATTCAAAACAAAGATTATACTGTAACACTATATTATATTATCAATATCAATTTGACGTCAAACACTAAAAATGCAACAATATCCATCTGTTAGGGTAAAGGATAAGATAGCATTCAAGAGAATCTACATTCATCTGTGTTGAAAATATGTGTGCCCTATGTATGTACAGTATGTATAAATATTACTAATACATATGGCTAATGTTTTCTATTTATTGGCCCAAGCCAGTAGCAGAATAACTGGCAAATGGCAAGGGCTATTGTTCTTTGCAGGTTTCTTCTTCTTATTTTTTTTTTTCGGTAGGAAATCACATTTTTCACCCATGGAACAGGGGTGACACTATAGCGCCCCCTACCACAGACATGTGGTCAGATTTGTACCAAATTTGGGGATTACATTCTACACATGACTATAAGCAAAAAACAATAGATTATGGACATGGGGCATTTTTCACTGTTGGCCAGCAGAGATGCAAAGGTTAAAAAAAACACACAAAACATTTAAGTCAGGAAGGGTCAATAGCATGCCAGGCAGTTGCGCAGGAGGGGAGTGTGCGCCAGGGCGAGGGCCATCTTTGCTTTGCTTTAATTCCTGTTTTAGTTCAGATTTGGTTGATGATTGATTGTCAGTGGTACATGCCAAGTCCTGGTACAGGAACAACTTACTCCTGCTGTGGCTCTCTAATTGAATGTTATGAAAGTTTGTTTAATATAACTATATCAAAAAAATTATACAAAGCCTACCCTGCTCCTCCTGTGGGGTAGCTGTACCCACTTTGGACCAGTCCATAGCCATATCTCTCCCCGAGGCTCACAGCTTCTTTAGGGTCATAGCAGCTCAGCAGACGACGTAGCCTGGGCAAACTACAGGACAAAAGATTAAAATATCAAAACCAAGAAATTCATAAAACAAGTCAAACTGTAATTAAGGCACATTTCACCTGAAACAATTTAAATAATCTGAAAAGTGTGCTAGAATATTGTATTAAATATAATGTAATTACCTTATGAGTGTGTCATCATCTACGATCAGTAACCAGTCAGTATTTGGCACAGCATCACTCAAGAAACGCTTCAGAATGGCAAATGTCTTTCCACAGTGGCCTATTGAAAAACACATGACAATACTGAAAGCATTATCGCAATGTTCAAATCTATGTTTTTCACACTACTTTACAGGCACTTCATAGGACAAGTAGTAGTTTATTCACACACAAAAAAACTGAGCAAAATAACAACGTATTAACAAAATAACAACTTAAATGGGGTTAGTAGTAGGCCAAGAGAAAAATATAATGAAAAACTGTGCTGAAAAGTAATGTTATTAGAAGCAAACAAAGCTCAAACTAAGCTCTCAGTGGTTTGCAGATGGATTTAAAAGGTAAGCTTTGAAGTCCGTGTAGGTAAAACGTGTCCTCTGCATGTCTGTAAACAGAGGACTTAGGTAAAAAGTCCTAGATCAAAATCCATTTTACTATTTGGATCTACAGTGCTGCCTCTCTTGAGCTTAAGCCCAAAAGGTTTGACTGGCTGAAACCTACAAACTCTTTAAAGCAGGATCAACTATTTTTAATTAAGAGTTTATCAAACATATTCAGACAGTAGACATGTTTTGTAGTTCCTGCAGTATATGTAGTGAATAAAAAAAATAACTTGTAACATAATGTGCATGTTCAAAAGCACATAGAGCATGCTAGAATTATTAAAACTAGAGTAGAATTTCATCTTCATATTTGTGAAAGTCCTGGTCAGAACAGTGCAGTGTGTAATGTGTCCATCAGGCGTGAGTGTGAGCGGAGAGCAGAAGCTGACGCTGTGGGAGAGATGTGAAAGTACATTATGAAGTGTAACTCAGACACATTCAGACCACAGAAAACCCCAGCTCTGGTAAAACTGTCCAGCCCTGGCCACTGACACAAATGTTTCTATGTCACATTTTCAGCCTGTCAAACCAGAATACTTATACTTATAAGTTGCACTATTTCACTTCATTGCAGTATTTTTGTCCACTAATCAATAAAAAAATTATATGACAAATGGACTTATTGTGTGGGTCCCAAGCTCAATTAAATGCTGAGGATATACATAGAGGCATTTTAAGGTGCACTGTGTAACTTTTCTGATGTAGGGTTTGTTGTCTGCGTGTCGCTGTGAAAAATGCTCCGCATTAAACTTATCCCCCATGTTTTTGAATAAGGTACAAGATAACATCATATAGGATCATTAGAAATGTATACAGCCCACAGTTAAAATATATGAGATACAGAACAAAACAATGTCTGGGATTCAATCATTAATTTTTTGTGATATCAATAGATCTAATCTATTTAATAATTCCCAAAAATGTCTCTCAAGCACATTCCAATTTTAATGTCTTCAAAATATTTCTCTTGTGTAATGTTTAACTTATCATTTTATGAAGTGACACTTTGATATCAGCCTTTCCCCACATTAATGCATCTCTATATTTGGTTTATTAAAGTGCATTGACAGCCTGCAGACTAAGTTTTTTTTAACTGTAATGGGAAAGCCTTATAAACTCTGTCAATAAGAGAATCCATATCCAAGTCTCCTCTCAATGAGACAACAACTGTTTAGCAATGTTTTCTTGCTTTTATATAATGAAACAAAGATAAACATCAGTTAATACAACAAGCCAATGTACATGTCTTCTGATGCTTCCATTTACTTTACTTTTAACAGGGCCAAATAAACTTTGTGCTGTATTATAAAGTGGACTGATTGTGTTATCAATCTTCAAAGTGTTTTCTCCATTATTAAAGTAAAGTGGTGTTAACTGAAGTCATTTAAGTTATAGGTTATTTTAATGAGTTTACAAATATGATGCATAAAATGATTCTTCATGTCTCTCACCTCTATCTGTGTTGGGCACTCCAAGGCTGATGGTGGGAATGGACTCATCGCTGACGTCACTGTAGAACTCCAGCAGCTCTGCATCTCTCTCCCACGTCTTCTTTACTACAGGCACTGCACAGAGGAAACAACACACAGAGTATAGAAGGATGAAAAGACAACTTCTTCCTCAAATCCTTCTGGACCCCTTCTGGACCCTGTTATTCTGTGTTTAAGTTTCACAGAGAGTGAAGACATATGTATTAGATATTTTGAAGGTGATGATCTTACCAAACAGCATTATTTAATATGTGATAATGTAGGGGAAAGTGCCATCTTCACAATTTCTTCAGATCCATAGGTAACATCTTTTATTTTAATCACACCTATATAATACAGTTGTTGTTTTAAATTACAATACAATTAAAATAAAGCAATCTTTCCAGATTTCTCCATATAGTTTGTCAGAGAAAATTGGGAATGAAACAACATGTTAAACACAAGGCCTTTTTGACAAGGGAACTTTGACAAGTGCAAGTTGTGGGGCCAATAATCCCCTTTTAATAAACTATGCAAATGTCAACACAACCATCTTGTGGCCTAAGCAAAAGAAAGGGATTTGAAAAGCTGTCAGCAGAAGTGATGGAGCAGAAATAGTTTTATTTATTTTAGTAGGGATTACGCAGCTTGGAACATCATGTACTTTCATTTTGGAGAAGCAACCATAATAAATGGCATGTGGACTATGGTCATATCATATTTATGGTGTAATAGCCAAATAAATGGCAAATGCCAATATAAACCTGTGAAGCCTGTAAAAATAATACCCTACAGTTTAGACTCCCTACTACAGCCAGTGGGGTTAATGTTAACATGCCTAAATTATATGATAAGGGTTTGCAAAACTGTAGAGGCCCAATCAATCAATCAAAAAAAAATAAAATAAATAAATAAATAAAAATAAATAAATAAATAAAAAAACATGCACATTCTACAAAAACAGGTGACAGACTCCCCACCAGTGAAGTTACAAAGTGCAACTTTAGTTAAACAGACGTGGACAAAATTGTTGGTACCCCTCTGGCAGTGAAAGAAAAATCAACAATAATCACTAAAATAACCTGAAACTGAGAAAAGCAATAATAAATAGTAATAATAAACATTTACTGAAAATTGTCCAACAAAAATCAAACATTGCTTTTCACCTGTGGTTCAACAGAATTATTAGAAAAAAAGAAAAAAATAAATAATTAAACTGGCCTGGACAAAAATTATGGTACCCTTAACTTTACATTTTGTTGCACAACCTTTTAAGGCAAACTCTGCAAGCAGATGATTTCTGTAACTGTCAATGAGACTTTTGCACTGGTCAGCAGGTATTTTGACCGACTTCTCATGAGCAAACTGCTCTAGTTGTCTCAGGTTTGAAGGATTCCTTCTCCAGACGCATGTTTCAGCTCCTTTCACAGATGTTCAGTAGAATTGAGATCTGATCTCACAGAAGAACACTCGAGAACAGTCCAATGTTTTGTTCTTAGCCATTCTTGTGTGTTTTTAGCTGTGTGTTTTGGGTCATTATCCTGTTGGAAGTCCCATGACATATGACTGAGCCTAAGCTTTCTGACACTAGGCAACACATTTTGGTCCAAAGTACCTTGATAGTTTTGAGATTCCAATGTATTTTGCAGAGATTCAAGACACCCTGTGCCAAATGCAGCAAAACAGCCCCAGAACATAACCAAGCCTCCTTAATGCTTCACAGTAGGGACAGTGTTATTTTCTTGGTCTGCTTCATTTTTGCGTCTGTGAACATGGAGCTGATGTGTCTTGCCAAAGAGCTCCAGTTTTGTCTCATCTGTTCAAAGAACATTCTCCCAGAAGCTTTGTGGCTTGTCAATATGCACTGTGACAAATTCCAGTCTCACTGTTTTATGATTTGTTTTCAACAGTGGTGTCCTCACATGAAGTCCACTTTGGCTCAAACAGTGACACTGATGTGCCTTGCCCTTCAAGTTCAGATTTTATTTCTTTGGAGGTTGTTCTGGGCTCTTTGGTTACCATTCCTATGATCCATCTCTTCAATTTGTCATCAATGTTCCTCTTGCAGTCACACCCAGGGAGGTTGACTACAGTCCTGTGGACCTTAAACTACTGAATAACATGTGTAACAGTAATCACAGGAACATCACACTGCTTGGAGATGGTCTTATGGGCTTCTTATCTTTAACCTGCTTGACTATCATTTTCTTTCTAGTCTCCTGACACAGTTCTCTTCTTCTCTTTCTCTGGTCCATGTTCAGTGTTGTCTCCATCATGTCTCCAAACAACACAATGACACATGTCCCCCTTTTAACAGGCAGACTGACTGAGGACAAGTTTGAAGACACCTGTGATGCAGATTAGAGACACACCCAGGTTTAACATGTCCCTATTGTTCAGTTACTTACAATCTTTTCTCGGGGTACCAGCATTTTTGTCCAGGCCAGTTTCATTTGTTTGTTTTTTAAAATAATTCTGTTGAACAAGATATCAAAAACAGTGTTTGATTTTTATTTGTCAGGAAATTTTTATTTGTTATTGCTTTTCTCAGATTCACATTGTTTCAGTGACCATTGTAGGTTTTTCTTTCCTTACCAGAGGGGTACCAACAATTTTGTCCACGACTGTATATACCAGCTTGTTACATTTAACCTTGCTTCTATTGTACCGTGGCTGAATAATGCAGTACTTAGTACACAAAATCACCACCAAGTTAGTTATATTTACACAAATCTATTCCACTTTTCATTTACATCAAGCTTTTAAAACATCCTGTTGTTAACACTTTGTTGTGGAGATGGGATCTTGAAATTCCAATTGGAAGTTTTCCTCTGACAGGTTAATTCAGACTGAGCAACCAGAAAACAGCTAAAACATGTGACAATGTTGAATTATGTTATAATCAGGGAAAGTATCAACTACTTAACTAACTAATTGTGCAGGTCCTAAGCCCAGAAAAATGCTCACATAAACATTTTACAGTGCACTGTGTAACTTTTTAAACTTTTCTAGGATTTGTTATTTGCTTGTCTCCATGAAGAACTTTGCCAGGAATATTCCAGGAAACATTTAAAACACATGGCAATGTAGAATTACAGTAGAATGAGCGAAAGTGGCAACAATAAATACAAATTAATGAAAAATAAATGAAATATAACTTTTGATTTAGTCATTAAGATTTATGTGATGTGATGTAAAGTAAAGTAAAGTAACAGCATCTGTTTTAACAACATGTGGGTTGATTTTAGTGCCCCAAAATCAAAATGTGTGATTCGCAAGCTCCAGATTTTATGTCATTATATAGTACAAAACCATTGTCAAACTAAACTTAAATGACGTACCTCGCTCTGAATGAAATTTCTGGCACGTCTTCACAGCAACAAATATGTCCTTTTTTGACACAGGAGGTGCCTAAAGGTACAGAGAAAACAAAGATGAACAAAATGATGAAACTGGAGTGTTTTGATGTTGTAATCTGCCATATCATATTCATATGCCATCTGAGCCACAGACAGTTTATGAAATACAGTGCAGCAAAAGTAGATCTGCAAATGGTTTATGCCTTTACTATAACAGTATCTCTGCCCTTAGATTTCTCATAAGAGGTTGTGAAAGCAAAGAAGCAGGTGAACAGAAAGCATACCTTTAAGAGCCTGTTACATAGTAGTCTACATAGTCTATTATGTGTAAGTATTTCTGTCTCAGCTTTGAGTAGAGTATTCACGAGTGAGGGGAGGATATTGACAGGTGGATTGGTGCAGTCGGCAGTGATGCGGTCGCTGTATCGGACCATTGTGGTGAAAAGGGAGCTGAGCTGAAAGGCAAAGCTCTCGATTTACCGGTCAATCTACATTCCTACCCTCACCTATGGTCATGAGCTTTGGGTAATGACTGAAAGGACAAGATGATGAATAAAAGCAGCCAAAATGAGCTTCCTCTGCAGGGTGGCTGGGCACTCACTGAGAGATAGAGTGAGGAGCTCAGTCACACTGAGGAGCTCAGAGTAGAGCTGCTGCTCCTTCACATCAAGAAGAGCCAGTTGAGTTGGCTCAGGCATCTGCTCCGGATGCCTCCCGGACACCTCTCTGGGGAGGTGTGCTGAGCACATCCCACCGGGAGGAGGCCCCAGGACACGCTGAAGGGACTATGTCTCTCAGCTGGCCTGGGAACACCTTTGTGTCCCCACAGAGGAGCTGGAAGAAGTGTATGTGGAGAAGGAAGTCTGGCAGTCCCCGCTTAGATTGCTGCCTCTGTGACTCAGCCCCAAATAAGATGGATAAATGGATGGAGTTTTGAGTAGTGAGAAATTGGACTGCTGAAAAATGTTAGACTAAGTAGATTTAGATGTGGAGATTTGATCTAAGCATACTACTCATACTACTACTTTAAAGGTGAACTTTGTAAGTTTTCAGGTGGAGAGTCAGCCACCTGTTAATAATATCCATGGAGATATTATTGCTTTACCCAGAATTGTCCACACTACAGCATTAAAACATAATGTCTCCATGGGGATATGTGAAGAGCAAGCTCATGCCCAGTATTTCTAACCAATATAAACACCCATAATGTAATAAAATGCTAGATATATGTTTAATGCCTTACTGTTAATCATTACAGGGAAAGCAATAACATCTCCATGGAGACAAGCAGGTAGTGGTCCTTCCAAAAAGTTATACAATCTACCTTTAACAAACAATTGTCTAATGTCACATTTAGAAGCTTGTTTTTTCCTATAGGCTGTGAAGAAAAAATAATAAAATAATAATACTATTGAAAGTCTGAAAGCTTGTTAGAGGCAAATAAGTCTTATAGAGCTTCATAATACAGGAGGAAAATACCTGTCTGTTAAGGTAAATGTGCACTCACTATACCAACAGTATGTAAAATACAAAGTGCTAAATCATAAAAATAACTGACAAATAGTTGTCACATTTTATGGCCCTAACACTGTGATGATAGTCCCTCTGCTTCTTGACAGTGTCTGACCCACTCCACGAGTTGCTACAGACAAAAACAGCTTTCAAACTTTTCATTTTTCAGAAATTTGTGATGATACTATCACTCTGCATGTAACAGGGCAGTGGCAGTGGGAAAATATACTTGTCTTCAATGGGACAATTACATGCACTGGTATGTGTTCAAATACTGAAAATGAATGAACTTAATTATCTGACTGATTGATTTATGTTTTTTTTTTTAAAAAAAATCATATTCCAGGCTGGCCAAATTGGCATTTTCACATTCATCTTGTTTAATACATTTTTCATGATTTGTTAGTTGTTCAGACCTGACCTTTGCATGACTTGAGCATAACTTACTTATTTTATTAAATTCTCTAAACTATAATTATGTAAAACTATGTGTCATTTATTTGGATGTTGTTTTTTTTTTTGTTTTTTTTTCTTTTTTAATTTATGCACATTATTCATTCATGCCTCGGTCATAGGTGAAAGGTGGAGGTGAAAAACAATTTCTCTGGCCACTGCCTCGGGTAAAATGAATGTGTGTTTGTATTGTAATTAATAGCTACTTAAATTAATTAAATGGGAAGACAGTAAAATGTTTTTGCATTCAAGACACTTTTAAATCAACACAAAATTATTATTCCAGCTGCTCCTCGCTGTTCTTTTGTGTGACTACAGAAATGACTCTATCAGCTTTGCCAATCTCAGTTCAGTGTTGCTAAAAATATGATAACCTTAAACTTTAACACAAAACTTGAATATTCTCTCTCACTTGTTTACGTGACACCTCTCAGCTCAACCTGCTTTGACTAGTGGTCTCCTTCTTTTTTAAAGGACCCGAAATCTCTCTCCAGTCTAAACCAACCTCCAAGCCTAAACTACAGGTCAAGATGAAGCCTAAACTTGTGAATAAAGAGAAGAGGAACACACTTATATGAGGATTGATGATTAAGTACAATTCTCTCAAGGTGCTAAGTGTAGTTTTTTGTGTTTGTGTGTAGCTTTAAACATTAACACTTTGGAGGCATTGTGGAAGAATATAGACAATTATATGAACAACTGAAGGTTTGATATCCTCCATTTCACTGGCATTTTAATTGTTATTTTTCATTTGAACAAAACAGTTAATTTAATAGCTATTTGGGCTTTATCATTAAATGTTGCTTCTCTACTTTTAACTTATCATACAGTTTACTGAGCTTTTCTGTGAGATTTTTTTTTTTAATTACAACATTTTTTCACAACATGTAATACATTTTTACTTAGCTTTTCTTTTTGCTTACTCAATGTAAAAAGAAATCTTAATTTGCAATTTTTATTTAAAATACACTTGTTAATCTAAGCATACAAATTTTCATTTTCTTCTGGCCAACACATTCAGCACTATTTTTTGGATGTTTACTTGTACAGTATAAAATGCTTTTGTGGTTACGCCTTTCAGTTTTCTATTGTTGCTTCACAGTATTTTTTTCTGGAAATTGTTTTGTGTTGCTGTGGTCCCTTGTTCACCTCAGGCTTTCTATCAAATTGAGCACATCTCAATGAATGACATTTTTAAAAGTTTTTGGTTTGGAGTTAGAGACAGAAAACTTAAACTAACAACAGGGGGAAAATATGGGGAATAATGCTCTTAAGTATTTTGTTTCTTACAAAACAGAACACCTAGTTTAAAACACTGGAAAGTGTAAAGCTAGAGAGTAACACAGGGTATTTGCATTTGTTGTGCAAACATCCTCTGTGTTTTCCTCCCAGGTTTTATACTGTACTTCTTGTTTTGATGAGTCAGCTCCTTTCATCCTATGTCCCAGCGGAGAGCTTGAATTGTCAGCAAGCACATGTGCCGCAGCGGTGTCAAAATGCTTTATGTTTCTACAGCAAGTTGAAAATAACCAGGCATGACAGCTTCAAAATGTGGCTTGAAGTGATGTATTATGTGATTGGACATGTTGATTGCTTGCACTTCATTATGATACAATAAAACACAGTCTGTTACGGAAGTCAGTCAAGCTTTTAGTAAACAGCATAAAGTACAGAACCCTTTCACAGTGGCATATTTCTTGCTTGTTTGCATTATAAGCAAGTGCAATTGGTTGTAAAACATCTGTTTGTGGAAGAGCACTGTGTAGGGGGGGTGCCACTTAACTTCTCTGGCCTCCATGGAAATAATATTACTTCGTATGGAGTATTAGTACGTATGGCATTAACCTTAAACCATCAGGCATTTTATTTATACGTGTGTTTTTATTCCTCCAAAATGCTTTGAAAAACAAGCATTCTTATTTTGAGCGTGCTCACTTTGCCACAGATCTGACCTGTAACTTAGACTGGTGGCGTCAACTGCTAGTCTCCATGAAGGCAGAAAATGTTAATGTCATACTATGGAGCATACAAGGCAAAGAAATATCATCTCTATGGAGACAAGCATGTGGTGAACGCAGAAAAATTACTCAGTACACCTTAACAGTGATGTAGGAATAAACATTATACATACACAGTTTGGGAGATATGAGGTGAAGGTGGTCACACAGTGGTCCTTGGCCTCTCTGCAAAACTCTGGAACAGGAGTCAGTTTAGGTCCCTTTCCATCGTTCCAGATAAACAAGGCTATCTGAAACAGCCAAGACGAGACAAGCAACATATTGATAGACCTGTGTTGTGGATATTTACTTTCATCTAATCTTCTAGTTTGTATTTTGGGCAAGTTTAAAGTGAACTATTATCAGAGATCCAGATAAAACTGTACTTTACATTTAAGTTTCAATAGACTGAATTGAACTGCCTGATTAATTGCTTTTAGTTCTTACAATTATATAATAACCTGTATAATCATAATTACAATATTGACATTCCAACTAATAAATATTAAAAGAATGTACAATACTAATAATATCTAAACAAAATCATGGCTGCCAATCTGCGCAATCCCAGGCAACTCTTCCTCTTTCACCACACTCATACATGGACAAGTATCCTGCCCAAGGACACAAGAACACTATTGACCGAATCCGCAGCAAGAATTTAGTGACGAGCCCAGGAGAACAACAATAGTCTGGGCTGAAGGTGAGCTTTGAACCAGTCTATCAAAAAGATGTTTGTTTTTATTTGGCAACAGAATAGCAAAGTGCAGCCACAGTAATTCTAAGTACCTTATTTTACGGGCTATTAGGCGCTCTGGATTATAAAACACGCTGTCATTAAATGGTCTATTTTCGAACGTTCTTCACAAATAAACCACACTGGACTTTAAACGAAATGCAACAGTTCGATGGGTCAGTCGGACTTTGTTTGGCGCGTTCACGGTGACTCTGGGCTTTGTTCAATTGTGGCGTGTACGGAGGGTGCTGTCTGGGACCGCTGGATTGTTGGCGTGTTCGCAGTGACTCAGTTGTTCAGTTGTGGCTCAGAAAGGCACATTGGACTCCCTTTTTCGGTTCGTTCCTCCGTTCCATTCCTCATCGGCGTGGAGTGATGAGTGTGGCTGCGGGTGTGTTTCGCTGTGCGGTCGCTATCTGCTCCGTGCGTGTTTGCGCGTGCACTGCGGCTTTGTAGTTTACTGAAGTCGTGCTGGGACACCCGAGTGGATTCGTGTATAGGGTGCTCTGGCTTTCGGGGCGCGCGGTCATTTTTTGATGGGGTTAGAGGCTTAAGAGCGTGTCTAATAGCCCGGAAAATACGGTAAGTCTTTTATGCTCAACAGTTTTTGTAAAGGCAAGAGAAATAATAGTGGCTTTCTATTAGATTTCATTGTATACTGCATCAAAAACTGCAGGTATAGCTCCCATCACGCAGCCCATTTAAAGGTAGTGCTTCTAATTAATTAAAGTGTTCAGAAGGGACTTTAGAGCTTTATTGCTTGTACTACAGAACTTGTCATGGGCATATGTCAATTCATTAAGTAGTATTTACAAGTTTTAACTATACTAAAGATATATAACAATACATAATTTGACTTCTTTCATAGACATTCATTCTAAAACTTTATAACCTCATTGTTACGAGTACAAACCAAACCTATCTAGATCTGAGAACAGAATTATTGATTTTCAAGTTACATAACCAATAGTGTTTGGGTTAACAAGGTGTGAAGACCTGGAGCTGCCTGTTCAGTTCTTCCCTCACAGCTGGAGCTCAGCAGGCAGTAGTACACAGTATAATGAGATTAGAAGTATGGTACCTCGTGTTTCAGGTCGATGGTAAAATCTGATTTCAAGTGTTCATGGTGAATCCTTTCAACGAGTCTGGAAAACAAAAAACAGGAGAATTTAGAAACACAAAATCTACAGGTTTGGCCTTAAATGTGTTTCATAAGACACACTGTATAATGATATATAATCCTATTTTATATTTACAATACATTGTGGGTGATGTGACTAAAACCACTGTGAATGGGGCAACAAAAAGCCCAGATTATGAATGAAGTACGTTTCAACATTAAAGTGCATTGACAGATTAATGAATATTATTATTTTATTTATTTATTTATTTATATGATATTATTACTTGATTTGGTGGGATAGTTTCTGTGGTAAATATTTGTCAGTCATGTGGCAGTTTGTAAAGAAAAGTAGTAAGTTTTGACAGATTAAACTTTGATTTAACAAAATAAAGGTGTTGTCATTTATTTTAACTTATCAAATCATAACTATTGTAATGTATGTATGTATTTTAGTTGTTAACATTATGGTTGCAAAGTAATAATATCTGCTGCCTATGTCCAACTTGGAAGTAAAATGACAAACTTGGCTGACAATGACAAAAAAAAAAAAAAAAAACTAGGCAAGCTTTAAGTAAAAGTTTAGTAAAAACCTTAAATATAAGTGTGTTAACTACGTTTTAAAGGAATTGTCTCATGCACTTTAAGTCAGTCAGCCCCATTCATCTGCTTTGTGAATGGCTGCCTACACCACCCTCTTCATGACAGCACAGTCTCTCACCTGTGGAGTAGAGCAGAACTGAGGGCCCATCCCGCGGCTGGGTCGGGGTAACCAAAGACACTGGGGTCCTCAGCAAAGGCATAGTGATGAATGATAGAGGCCTCGCTGTCATGGAGACGCCTGCCTAGAAACCACTCCTGAGAAGAGCAGTAAAGAGAGGGGTTATATAATTTACACTTGACTTATTTTATAAAACAGGAGAATAGAAATATTTAATGCAAGTATTGCTACTATTTAGAATTTCTTCTGTTCTTTCAGCTTTTTCCTTTCAAGTGTGAACATAGCCAAGAAACTGAAAGTGAATGTCCGTTTTACCTAGTCTTACCCAGTCTTAGAATTAGCATAAAGAGGTTTGATTGGCTGAGTTTCAATCAGTTAATCAGTCATTAATCCTTTGAATGACCTACCTCATCATAACCACTAGGTACTGAGACTTTATTCATTACATTTTAAATAATGACATAATGTAATCTTTGCCAACTCGTGGTCACCTTGAGACTGCAGCCTTCCGTAACTGAGCACACAACTATAACTAGACAACTTTTTTTTTTAATATGTAGGGACATTGAGTAAAAAACAGTCAAAATAAAAAAGTATACTTCTTGTCACCTCTGAGGCTGGATATCTCTTGAGCACAGTGAGCAGTGAATTCAGTGACACTTGAGTCTCTTCCTCAATGAACAAAAACCAGGAAGCCGAGCCAAAGGAAGCGGAAAAGCTGCAGGAGAGAATTAACATATCATAGCCTGTGTCCCGGTCTAACCTAAGCACCCGGAAAAGAAGGACAACAGAGACATATGACTCATATGATCCACTCACAGAGGAAGCGCAGGCAGGATGCTCCAGACGCCCTCATAATCAGAAAACTCATGAAGAAGAATTATGTGAGGAGGTTCCTAAAACAAAAAAAGACAATACGGCATTTTTACATCTCACCTGTAAAATCATTATTTACCTATATTTCTATACATAAGTTTGGGGTACCTATGTGGGCTACCTGTTTTTTAAAGCTATGTATGTACCATAAGATTTACACGTATGAATACTAGTGTTATGCCAGAGTGTTTGTGAGAACTAGAACATACTTAGATATATTTAAGACCTAATTGATGCCTTCACAGTTAAAAAATCTGATACTGCAGCTTTAAGAATATTTCCCATATGGTTTGTTATGCTTGACAAAAAGTCTGATAACTTTATTTTTCTGCCTCAGAGAAAACACTGTCCTCTGCCCCATGACAACATGGTGATTCAAGATGGCAAAATATTAATTACTCCAGACTGAAATTAGACTATTGTAAAATAAAATAAACATTTTCACCAGACGTTCTAATAAAAAATTAAGCAAAACAGATTTATAGCTCATGTAAGTATATTGTTTATAAAAATGCTTCCAAATAAGTGAATAAAGTGATATTTTGGCACTTTGTGGTTACATTTACATTTAGGTAATATATAAACCTCACCTAATGCATTTACATACAAAAGATGTTTTAACACATTTCTGTTGGACTGACATAAAATCATATGAATACCATTACTGGGATACAGCAACAAAAATGGACATATTCATTGTCGCCCATCCTTATTTGGCCTTGACATTATACTGGTTTCACACACGCACGCACGCACGCACGCACGCACGCACGCACGCACGCACGCACGCACGCACGCACGCACGCACGCACGCACGCACGCACGCACGCACGCACGCACGCACGCACGCACGCACGCACGCACACACACACACACACACACACACACACACACACACACACACACACACACACACACACACACACACACACACACACACACACACACACACACACAAACATTTGCAACTGGGATCTTTTGTTGAACATTTTTTGAACAAATCTGTGACAGTTGGTGATAAAACTGAAAAATGTCATTGTTTGTTATTAGAACGTTTCTCGAAGGTTAGATCAGTCCCTCACATTTTATACAGAAAGGCCACTCCAATTAAACACAAAACATCAGACATTTTCAAAAACAGGAACCTAATGACAGACAAAGAGAAAAGTCATGAAATAAAGAATACAACCTTTTTGCAATGGCTCAAATATAATTAGCACATTAGAGTCTTGCAGTTGTACAACAACTTGTAGTTGATGTTTTGAATAACCAGCATGCACCAGCTATGTTAATAATGGTGAATTGTTAACTAAAATCACATGTGAGAAAGCCTGCAGCAGATTTTCCATTCCAGGCATCACAAGGGAACAGCAACTACCAGCTCATGCACCCAATAAACCAATATAGATAAAAACAAGAACTCTCTGACTCAGAGATTGTGGGTTTGGGTGAAATTTCAGAGAATACATTAATTTCCAGTGAACACGTCTAATATTGTTTAATACTGAATCTATGTGTTTTAAAATTGCCTTATAAATTGTGGTGCATTATGGGATAGGACAGGTTGATTACTTTTTTAATTTTATTTAATTATGATTTGCTAAAAACAATCCACTTAATGAGTCAGTCTAGTGATTAGCACAGACCAGAATACAGAAAGCAATTTAACAGTGGCTACTATATTTCATTCATTTATATATCAGTAAGAACATTATTAATATTAAAATTAAAAATGATTAAAATATCTTTAAGCAAATGCCGAAATCTCTGTTCTTTCTTAAAATGTCAATGTTTTTTTTTGCATTTGTTGATAACATTAGCCAACCAAGCCAAAAGAAACAGTAGCTGTAAAATGACAAGATGTGTGATCAGGCTGGAGTTGAGTCTAAATGACAAACATTGACAAAAACATCTCAGATTAAAATTCAATATTACAGACAGCAGTACTTAATTTGTGTGAGTAATGAGCGAGGTTCTATTGGTTTGAATATGAAGACAAATTAGTATTAAGGGGTTATAAAGGGTTATTAAAGGTCCTATTTTACACAATTTTCTGATCGATTTCATAATGTTGTTTCCTCCTCAAAAATATATTTGGGAGTTGTGTTTTGTTTCATTCGCACATGTTTAAAACACAAACATTGCAAATTTAGGCTGATTTCTTCTCTTAAATAGAAAACACTCTGTTACACTTTGTGATCTCATGTGGTAATACAGGAAGTGCTCCACTGTATTTTTGATCTCCAGAAACCTCCATTAAAATCATTTGGATGATTTCAGGTCTGACACCTGTAACTCTGAAACAGGACTTGATCTGCAACATGGCATCTTGAAAATAAGTGAATAAAGATTGCTCAAACAAGCAACTTACAATCCAAATACAACTAGTGGGTAAATAGGGAGGATAAACAACTATAATATGGTTAAAAGTTCTGAAAAGTCTTCTTGAAGAATTACATTTCCAATTATAATGTTGAGTAAATTAATAAATGTTTTGCAGCCAAAATTACTCAAGTATTAGAGTTTACATCAACAATTCTCTAATAATACTATGATTTCCTCATCTTGTGGTAATAGGGCAATTTTCATGATTACTTACTGTACTGGCGATGCCAAAAAGCAGACATTCTAAAATAGAAGTTAGATAAAGTCTTGAGTTTAAGAGTGGGACAAATTGGCCGTTTTAGCTTCTGAAGCACTGGTACATATTTGGGTCAAAAGCCCAGTGACGAACAGTCTGCCCTCACGCTAAATGAATCTACAATCAAGCTCTGTCTGTCTCAGGAGACAGAGAGAAGAAAGCGTCAGCTCTTTGCTTTAACAAGCTCAGAACAGTGTCACCGAAACATGTCACTGGCATCAAATGAGCCATTGGGTGTGAATTATGTAGTCACTCTATCATTACAACAATATTCACCACCAAGCAGGCAGTAATTAACAGTTAACAACAAAATGTGATATCTTTTGAAAGGTGAAAAGTCCTCAAAATAGCGCCTAGGAAACTGAAATCCTTGATTATGAAATAAATTGCAGTGTGGTCTCAGCCTTTAATTTCACACATGTTGGATTCTCAGCCTTCACAGTTCACTTGCATCACCTGTTTCCAATACACCACTGTTTCTTTCTTGGACCTCTTTTACATTAAGAAAATAGAGATCATGGCAAGTACAGCAAATACACATGACCTGCAGCTAAAGAGATTCTCTAGGAGATATGAAAAAGTATTACAACTTAATTTCACAGCATATAGACTTTGAATTAGTGTCATATAAAAACAAAAAATATTCTTTCAAATTCTGAACTCTGCACCAAACTAGATGGTTTTGCTGACAGAAGAATGGCTGTACAACTCTGGATCATAAAAACCAAGCTGATTATTGACTCAATTGGGTATTCATTTAATTGAAAATGTAATTAACTGCATAGCCCTAGCCCCATGTGGCTAAATTTCAGCCTAAACTAGATATTCCATTTTCCTGATTCTAACTAGTGCAATACCAGTCTGAAAATCTGGGCCCTACTAATATCATGGGTGTTAGAAATGTGGATAAGCATTGGATTTTATTGAACGATGGCTAATGTTGACTATGATGAGTATTTTTAACTAAATTCTAACCATTTGATTTAACAACATGAAATATTAGGGAAGAAAGTTTCACAGTTTCATACTCTTGACTTCGAAAATATATTTATGAGATGGGTACCTCTGGACTTCTATCTTCATCTATTCAATTTAAAATGAATTTGGTTAGGCCCAAATATGCTAATTTAAGGTTATTTTATTTTGAAATATTAATAATTGCTGCTTGCCCCTTTGATCCTATAAAATCGTGACTTGATCTTTTAAAAAATGTATAAAAAGTTTTAAATATGGCATATCCAAGTCAGTTTCTCTGTGTGTGTGAGGAGAAAGCATTATCTCACTTTTCGTAGTGGCTCTAGGGTGAGGAGGACACCTGTTGGTCACTGGACAGAATAGCAAAGTCCAATCCTATTTTTAATCTAAAAAAGACCTTCTTAACTGATCTTTTCCTCATCAGTCTGATTTTCAAATTATATATTGCTTGGATATAGAATTTGAAAGGCTGCTGTTACCTGTCCCAGTTGAGAGGCCTGCTTCAATAGTTCCTTCTTTTTGATTTCTCCTCGTCGAGCGTGGAAGGGGTTTTGTTGACTCTGAATCACAATAACTACTTCCTCTAAGCCTGGAAACCACAGAAGAATAAAGAGATGAGATGTTTTAAAGTTGACTGTCTCTGGGGGACCCCGAGACAGCTTATTAGTCTTACCGCTCATATCACATATGTCACTTCAGCTCAGCTGGAGATGGCAAAATTTTTTAAAATTGTAGTCAAGTTCATCTACTGTTATGAAATGTTTTGAAAAGTAATTAATACAGTATAAAATGCACAACAACAGTCTTTCTGTGGAATAAATCAATCAAAATAACTTTCTGAGGGGCAATTTAAACATATAATTTAATATTTCAAGTGACTTAACAATATCAAAAAGACTCATTTAATCTACTAAGTTGTAAAAAGAAAATGAATACAGTTTAAAATTATACTACAAATTAGTTATTGCAGAGTTACAACAGATCAAAATTATGTCCCACCTGTAGCAGCAACTTGTATAGTCAGGAAATGGTACTTAACTATAGGGTGTGTAAAACATTTCTTTTCTATCATTGTGTCAATAATCATGTACTTATGTGTGCGCTATATGTAACTTTTTTGGTGGAGTATCTGCCACCTATTTGTCTCCATGTAGATGTTAATGCTTTGCCTGGAATATTCCACAGTATGGCATTAACCCACATTTCATCAAGCCAAGTCAGAGCTATGGAGAGGAAACTCAGTTAAGTGTTTCAATATATTTTTGAGCTATAAAAACATCTGGCTGTATTCTGTGATTGAGTTGTGACTAGAACAACTGTGCAGCACTCTGCCCAAGACAAGTCTAGTCCATTGGACAATAACGTCTGATTCAAGCTGAAGTCCGTCTACACAATGTGTGACTCACTGAAAGGTGTCTGCCTCTGGGCCTCTTCTGCCTGTGATCAAACAGATACACAGTGTTTTAGTATCTGACAAATGAAAGATAAAGTACAAAACAAAACAACTAACCTGAGTCTGCCCTCCCCCTGCAGCTGTGGGACCTAAACAGAGTGAGGGACACAGAGTTAGGCTGGTTCATAATGAGATACAATTCTATTTCAAACAGTGGGTACATTTATACGAGAGTGCTGTAGTCCTTTAGTCGATTAATTGATCAATGGTGTCTCAGTTGACCAAAATTTGTATTAGCTGACTAATAATTTCATTTAGATAATGATGATTTTTATGTGACACAAGTTAGTGAGACACTTAGCGGAAAATTTGGTATTGTTTGATAATTCACAAGTTAAATCTGTTTATACATAAATACATTGTTTCGCAGTACTTTATTTTGCATGAAAAGTTAAAGTGCAGTTTAAGTCAGAAGGACATTTCTTTAGTCGACCAAGAAATTCTTGGACTACAGCCCTCTTTACATGGTCAGTAAAATAACATAACTGCATAATCAGTTAATGCAATGATTACCTCCGCCAAGGAGGTTATGTTTTTGCCGGCGTTTGTCTGTTTGTTTGTTTGTCTGTCTGTTAGCAACATAACTCAAAAAGTTATGGACCGATTTTGATGAAATTTTCAGGATTTGTTGGAAATGTGAAAAGGAAGAACTGATTTCATTTTGGGGGTGATCCGAAAGAAATCCTGGATTCTGCATCACTTTGAAATTTTTGTTAACATCGTGGTAAATGGGGCCAAAAATTTTGTTTCTCAATATCTCGGTTAATTATTGACCAAACCCCATGAAATTTGACTCAGGGATGGACAATGGGATCCTCTTTCATATTCCAAACTGAAAGATACGAGACAAATATTTATGGAAAACACAATTAATATGAGGGGGACTGTAGTCCTTGGCAGAGGTCTGCGCTCTCTGAGTGCTTTTATAGTTAGATCTGTTTTTTGTGTTTTTTTATATGCACAAAAGTAATCTGCTCATCTGACAACTGATGACATATGACAGATAAATGAATTAGCATCTTTATTCACTTCTTCAAATGCATTTGTCTTTTCCTTGTCAAAACCTACACAGGTGTGGGCAATCTGATATAAATCTTTACATGGCATTTCAATAATCAGTTAACTCCAGAAATCAGATAATGCTCAGATTTTTTGGGACATGGGCTATGTTTACATGACTGCATGCCATGTCCAGGTGCAAAAAAAATAGTATAAAACATTACATTACAGTGAATTAACTAATAATTAATAAATAATAAACTCCAACATACTTTTGATCAATCTACTCAACTCTAGGAGATGTTAAAACAGACTGAACAGAAGAACCAAAACCATTGCACAGCTCCATCTCAAGCCTCCTCTGTGACAGAAGCACAGCAGAGCCTCTCTGATCTCAGCCAGACTCATCTGCCATCTGGCAAAAGGCACCAAGCAACTACCAAGACAAGCAATCAAGCAACTTTTGCATGATCAACAAGAAAGAAGCACAAGTTCATATTGTCCTTTACAGTTTGTATAGTGTGTGTGTGTTTGTTTGCATAAACTGTAAAGATATTTTTGAGTTTGAATTATATTATGTAAGGCTATTTGACAAATAGCAATTGTTTTCTTAACAGGGTACCTCAAATAGATTGTTTTGACTGTATTTACTGCATAAACATGTGTGTGGAGGTTTTATATAATTTCATCCCTCCAATCATCTCTGTGCACAATTATGAATGGAATTGCGTTTGTTTTGTTAGAATGAAGTTGAAACGCATTGAACAAAATATGAAATCACTGTTAAGTCCAACACAAAATCACAAACATCCTAATTAGTATTTCAAAATAATTGGATTGAGTTGTATTCACTATTTTTGTACGTCACACAATCAAACTAAAATGTCTCAGCAAGTTTAAAAGATTGATATAATATTTTCTGTTATGATGAAAATTACAACATTGTAATTAACAATTCATGATTGTTAAATTTCTGATGCGCTTTAAATTTATTTTGAAAGTCAGCTCCTCTCAACTTCCTTTGATTAGACAAAAAAGATCTTGCTTAACAGTAGCAGATTAGCCTTTAGCTGTCGATGTTAATGGCTAAATATCGCCTTTCATCAAACTTACCGAGCAAAAGAAAGCCCTGCAGCAGGAGTATGTATCCGTAAATCTCCATTATAGATTGTCATCTCTGTACAAACTGCGGTGTTTGTCCATTTTTCATGGTGAACTGAGGAAAAAAATAGCAAACATTCCGCACCACCGCTGTGAATGGATGAGGAGACGGGGCTGTAGCGACCTCCTGTGGACGATAGTTTGACTGATGGTTTCATAATTAGGGTTCTGTCTCTGCAAATATCCTCATACTAAATATATGGACATACATATATTTTACTTTCTATTTTTGTTAGTATAGAGGGTTTTCAGCACTCTCCCTAGACTTAGCTAGATATTATGTTTTTGACTAGTCTAACATCCTTTTAGGTTTTAGAGGATAAATCTCTTGTCAGTATCAGTACCACTTCACCAAGTAGAGAACCATTTCAAGACCTATTTTTTAAACTAATAAAGAATAAATTGTGATAATTGATGCTGATTCTACATAATATCAATATTTATCTACTAACTGGATACCATTGTAGAATTTCAATAAGAAGCAACAATTCATCAATATAGTGGAAAATATCAGACTAACTGTGTGATTTCTTGTGATTTCTCTTTATATAGACATAATGTTCACTTGTAGCATGCTTCTTATCATCCAGGGACATCAGCATACCTGAACAGACTCCAGTGTCTTATAAATCCTTATGCAAAAACAGCAAAGCAAATCAAAGGGACCCAGGCTTTGTGAGGTGAATGCACAATCAGAATCATGTTTAGTTGTCTTTGCAAAGCAAAATCAGTCATTTCTAACAAAAGCAAGGTTAAAGATTTTTTTATTTATTTATTTATTTATTTTGCAAGTAAACAAAGTACCATTTTAATACAAAAATGACTGAAATCTCAAGATATTCATCTAAAAACAGAAAGCACAGAAATGTGTATTTTCATTTGAATATTCCCTTTGTCAATGCACCAGTCAGCATTACAGCAAGTTGCAAAAGTGACATTGTTTTCACTGTTTCACATCTTGAGGAAGCAATATTTTGTTTCTAAAATATCAGAGGACATGGGGTCAAATTGGAGGTCTGTTCTGAGGATACAACTAGAGCTGGTTTTAAGTGCTTAAATTGTACTACATTGTCTTGTATTAAAATGACATGCTTACATAGTTCCATCATCACTTGATAGAGAAATTAAATTCTCCATCATTCATCAGACATTATTATGGACACTTAAAAGTGGATGAGAAGTGACACTAGCAGAAGCTCTCAAACTTTTCAGTGTCTCCATGATCTGATGACATATCTGACACAAGCTACACACTTATGGACAGCATCAAAAGACAGACAAAAATATACCTTATCCTTTCTGCTGTATACGAATATAATGCACTGTAATACATTTTTTATGATTGTGTTTTGGTTCCTCCCTACAAGGCGGAGCCAGTTCTAACCCAGAGGACGAACTGAATCAGGAGCGTTACTTCACATCCCACACAGAGTCAGCATGAGGCTGAGTAAGATGTCCTGGGACACAGAGGACAGACTCACAGTGACTGAGGTGGAAGAGTTTTTAAGAAGACCCCCTGCTGGTTTCACTGTGCACTGTTATGAATCAGGATACTCCATCAACAGTGACACTGAGAAGAATGTGGTCCTTATTGATGATTTTAACATTGGCACAGGGAATATAGTGTTTACAAACTCACTCAGGAGGTAAGAGACTTAGTATTTTCAAAATATCTGTTTGTTGAGACTATGCTGTCACTATGGCCAAACTTTAACACATTTTTGGTGTAAATGTTTTTGTATTTCAGTGTCTTTGCACAATTTGTATGATAATTAAAACAAATTAAGTATACATGTATGAAGCAATTCTGTGATGTGCTACACCATTTTCCCCCTTTTTTCCAGAAAATTAAACATGTTGTAATCACTTAAATGGGAAAATATTGAAATGGTCTTGATAGAATTGCTTACATTTTAGGAAAGTGAAACTGCATAATCTTGGTCAGTACACCAGTGTGAGAAAGAGTCTGCTGTCCAAGAGGATTTATCTGCTTTTAACCGCATGGGAACAAATGGTTGCAAATAACCTTAAAGGTATGTGTGTTATTTATTTATGTTTATTTAATGGTGCAGTAAAGAATAATGATCATATGTGAGTGCTTTGTTATAGAGGAGTGTGATTTGAGCTGGGACCATCTTCTTTTATTATTGAATATTTACAGTGGCATAAAATTCCTTAAGGCAGTGTCAGACTCAGAGGGATACTAGCTATGCTAGGCTTTGCTTTTCACAACAGCTTGAAAATTGGGCACTCTTTTGAAGTTAAGATGTTTTCAGTCATCTTGAATCTCTTGAAAAGCACTGTTTCTTTTTTCACAGTTCAAGCTATTGTTAGGTTTCAGATGACATCACAGCATTCTATAGGTTAATAATATTTAATACAGATGGGGGCAGATAAAATTAATATTGTTAAAACCCAGAGTTTTTATTTTTTGTAATACAGTGAGTTCTAGGGTCTAGTCACTAATAAATCAGGTTCAGCATTTGTGGATTTACATGTTAGATATTTCATGGCAAAGTACAATGTAATCAATAGGAAAATTTGTCCCTTGCTCCCTATGTGAGAGGATTATATCATCACATTCTTGGATCTGAAAACCACCAATTGTTGCTTATCTCAAGTAACTGTAACATTTGAAAACATCAGAGACCTTGAGTGAGAACAAAAACATGTCAGAACAATTTTATGTTTGATGTATGTTATTTTTTGCAGTGAGACAGTTTGCTCGGGATTCTTTTTCATGTTTTGTTTTTTTCTCTTCAGATCTGAAGTATTTTGTGGTGTCCATTGATGGTAGAGACCCTTATATTAAATGGCAGATGGAAAGAGGTCTGGACTGGGCCACTGCGTCGGTCGCTGGAGAGAGCTACAGAGTCAATGTATGGAAAAGGAATACAACTGCATAATATACATATTTATGCTTTTTACTGTTTAAGTGTAACATTTTCAGGACTTTTCATTATTTGAAAGATAAGATATTTGAATTTAAAATAGCTTATGTCTGAAATGGATATGGATGGTGTTTTGCAATATCCTTAATAACAGTTATATAACAAACAAAATCTGGTCACTTTTCTGTAGGATTTTGATTGTTTTGACTAAATACATTTTCCCCTCATCTTTATTCTGTAACTTGCGTGTGAATTGAGATTACTATCCTTGCCTTTTACTTGACATTTCTTGGGATATGCATGTTATATTCAGTGATATTTGTGTGTTTTTCTTTATATTAGATTGATTTGACTGAAGCGCTTCAAACTTGGTCTTCAAAAGCCCTGTATTTGAGAAACAACAGGCAAACCATCAGCCAAACCCTGGTGTGGAGCGAAGCCTTCTTTACACTCAAGTACTACTCTGATGCCATGTTTGACTTCCCATATTGGTTTGGCTTCAGTAAAAGAGCATTTAAGGTGGATATTTTTTAGTATTTCAAACTTAACGCACAGGCTCAAGCTAAACTAATTTTATTTTCTATGTTCTCAATATAGCTGAAGATAACCTGAAAGATCTCTGCAAACTTTGGAACTCTGGTTGCTGCAAAAAGCAGTCAATCCCAATCAGCATTTTAGAGTATATTTTTGACTGAAGAGGACCACAATTTTAAGAGACAGTTTGAGGTATTCTATTTGATCTTAGTTGCTGTATATAGTTTTGTGAATGCATTACATGATGAATGATAATTTTAGATAAGCACTCATACCTTACTAATTTTATTCAGTTTTATTCAAAGATAGACATGTTACAATGATCTGATCATTACAGGATGTATATTGCTGGGAGGAGTAAGATTTTCAAGCACAATGTAAGGTCTACATTGTGATGTTTGGCTGGCCAGACTTGTTTTAAGTGCAATATTTTATAGTAATCACACTTTTGTTTTGTAAAAACTAAATTTATTTTCTCAGAATAAATCTTATTTCACATGATTCATTTCATGAGTTTACAAACTTCATATGACAGTGTGCCTCATTAGACAGGTGCTGCCACCTATGGGATGAGGAGCAGAGCAGAGGCGGCACTGGTGAAGGTCTCCACTGTCTCTCTGTAGTCGCTCCCAAAGAAGCGCATGAGTAGGTAGTTCAGGACCCCAACCAGGCACATGAGCGCCAGGAAAATCAGAATGCGCTTCCCAAACAGGTAGCCAGGGGTGCTATCATGTACGCAGGGACAAGCCAGTTACTAAAATGTGACTAAAAATATTAAGGACAACTATCAATATCCATTTACCTTTGGGAGGTTTGTCCCATGTAGCCAATAAAGTACTTATGTCGCACAATAAGGTACAGGAGACCCGCAAAGGCTGCTGGAGCTATGGACAAAAAAAAAAAAAAATGAATATATACTTCGCTGGGATAATCATTTGAACAAGTGCATCCAAACCAAAAGTTGTACATAGTAACACTAAAATGTTATCAGAAGATACATTTGAACTGATTGCCTGAATGACTGCTAAGTTAACTTTTCCACATTTTCAAGCATACCCTGGAAATGGATCTTCAAACATCCTGTGCTATGAAGCCCAATATGTGAATATAGTGGGACCTTGTTGATCTGTTTTTAGCTGACTTTTAGGAAAGTAAGCCTTATTGTGTGAGCATTTGACGTAGTTCAGAACAAACTGGAAAGTTCTGATTCATTGTTACCTTGGTTGAGGCAGACTCCAGCGCACCACATCACTGCAATAAACGTGGGGTATGAGTCCATGCAGTTTCGACTGAAGAAAAAGTGTAAATAGCAAAATAAATGACAACATTTGTGGAAGTTAGCTGCAACAAGAAACTATGGAGCAATCACCTGTTTAGAAAGTCAGACACTTAAGGCTTTTTGAAGGTATTTTAAACTGTAGAAAAAACAGCCAAGACAAAATCTAATTGCGGTGTCTGAATGGACTGGAAAGCTAGAAGTGAAAGCCAGGAAAAGCTGAGCCACCTCTGATTCACATTAAGCCACTATTGAAACTACTTGCAGCATAGTTAATAGAAATACTTCATGTTGGAATAGTGGGAGTCCAAGTGTAGTATTTTTTTAGTTTAGTACAAGCACTTTCTTACTTGTACTATGTTGCAACACTGGAACTTCCCCATTGTCAGATAAATAATGGGTTTCTTATCTTACTAACATAATATAAAATAGCATTACTCAAATAGGAGTAAACGGTGGGATGTCTGAATGTACTCTCAGAAGTACAATTGGAAAGTAACTAATTCAGTTACCCATGTTACTGTAACTGAGTAGTACCTGGGTAATTGTCTTTTTTTTAGCATTACTTTAAACATAGTATACTTCTGGCCATGTAATTGTAATTAGCAACATTTAAATAAAGCTACAGCGTACAATGTCCTAATGCATGGCTGTTTCACTGAAGTCTTTCCATCACTGGTGATTACCTCCAACCTCTGGTATTCAAATGAGTCCCATAATAGCTATCAGCCCAACATGTGTAAAGTCCATGCTAAAGAAGGGGTCCATTCACAGCATCATATTATTTTACATAATATGAACATCTGTGAGTGCCATGTCTGATATACAAATAATAAAACAGGCATTGTATTGTGTTACAGCTGCGCAGGGAGCGTTGGAGGCAGGTGGGAAATAGACGGAAGCATTTGAGGGTTTTCAGAACTTCTGCTAATGGTGCTGTTTTTTTGTTTTTTGTTTTTATTTTCTTCTTACAATATTTATTTCTGAATTGTCAATATAAAACAAATGTTCATGTTTATGTGACGTCATGATATGCTATCTGTAATTAAAAATATTTATATTTGAATGGCAAAAAGTGCTCAAAATGGTGCCATTAAACAAAAAACTGAAATATATTATGTTTAAGCTTTTGTTTAAAGGCAGGTGAGCTGAATGAATTTACAATCAAAATGTAAATGGGCATGGTTTATGGTTATAAAAAGATGTAATAAAATCTGTAATCTAATCTAAAAAAAAAAATGACACGTTTTTGAAGTTTTTGTAGTTATTTATAGCATTAAGTAATTACATTTGGCATTCACTCTATAACAGAAATAAAATAAATAATAAATAAACTTACTTTGCGCATGATACTCTTTCAATCGCAGTTGGGCGAGTGTTGTCAGATGTGCATTCCTTATCCAGTTTAAGGGCAAAGAAGACTAAAAAGAACATAAGACTCTCAGTTTGTATCCTGTAAAAGATCAACTTTAAACCACACAAATTTCACGTCTTACCATTTTGAAATACGCTCAACGCTGTGATAATGGCCAGTAGGTATATGTTTTCTACAATGTTACAGGTGTCCATGACGGTGAGGCGCAGGCAGTTTTAGTGCATCCAGATGACTGTTTAGTTCGCTGCAAAAGTCAAACCTGAGACTTTTCTTATATATTAACCCCACCTCCAGCCAATGGTTGTGTTTTTTCATGCAAATCATCAGTGGTCAAAAACTCGAGGTAGGCTAGGAGGCAGGCAGATCAGGAACTTCCTGTTGATTTTACTATGCCTTTTCACTACTGATCTGTTCTGTTGGCTACTAAATATTAGGTTTATTTTAATAGGCTCAGTGGTCAGTGGTTCCCAAAATGTGGTCCGCAGGGGTCTTGAAACACCGCAGCGGGCCCATGCAGTCTAGGTAGGGCTAAATGAAAGTAGCAATAACCTAATTCATTCCGCAGGAGACCGACCCAGCAGGAGAAAAAATCTCAATAAGATACACAATCACACAACTGTAAACAAAAATGTACAAAAATGTTGTAGGTCACCGTATACTCCAGTCCCCCCCTTCGTGTCAGTCAGGCTGCAGTGGCCAAACAGCACCTACACGTGCAGCCACAAGGTAATGCAATTCACAATCGCCGATGCTCCATGGCTAAGACGAGTTGGCTTATCTAACTCAATAAGATGTGTATGTGTATTTTATCTGTTGATAAAATCACATGATAGAAATATTGCTGTGTCTTCTTTGACCTGTCTGTTATTCCCAAACCACCGGCTGCTCCTACAGTTGTTCGAAGAAGACACATAAATGATAACACAGGTGCACTGTTCATGGAAATGATACATTTTTAAATTGCCTCATGTTCTAATGTTGATGATGTGTTGAACTCTGTGACTTTGAGTGTTTTGAATGTTCTGGATGCCATTGCCCCAATAAAGGTTAAAATGGTTAAAGATAGGCAAAAAGCTCCGTGGAGGAATGATGACTCAGTCAGAGCACAGAAAAGGGAGTGCCGGAAGGCTGAGCGGAAATGGCGCAAGTCAAACCTCCAGGTTCATTATGAGATTTACAGAGGAACAATGCATATGTACAACTACACTTTTAGTAAAACAAGAGAGAAGTATTTTTCGGACATTATTGGTAATTGCAGTAACAACTCTTGTGTCCTGTTTGCAACAGTGAACAGATTAACAAACCCTCCAGCTCCACTGCCACTAGAACTAATTTCCACATCTAAATGTAATGAGTTTGCAGTTTTCTTTAATGACAAAGTTCAGGGCATCAAAAATGCCATCAATTCCACAACACAAATAACAAGCATGCAGCCACAGAGACACTTAGAGCTGAATCACTTTGCACCTGTAACTGACAAAACTGTTTTAGAGATCGTTACCAGTCTGAGTTCATCTACTTGCTGCCTGGACATGTTACCCACTAGATTTCTAAAGTCCGTCCTCAACAGTTTACTTTCACCACTCACTCACATAGTTAACATGTCACTTCAATCTGGAACATTCCCAAACGCGTTGAAAACTGCGGTCATTAAGCCTCTCCTAAAGAAGAGCAGTCTTGATGCTACAGTACTGAACAATTTCCGACCCATCTCAAATCTGCCGTTTTTTGGCAAAGTCCTTGAAAAAGCTGTTTACCAACAGCTTACGAACTTTCTCCAAACGAACAACTCCTTTGATGTTTTCCAGTCAGGTTTTAGAGCCCACCACAGCACTGAGACTGCTCTTATCAAGGTGACAAATGACATCCGCCTGAACACTGATGCAGGCAAAGTCTCAGTCTTGATCCTGTTAGAGCTGAGTGCTGCTTTTGACACTGTCGATCATGGGATCCTCTTACAGAGACTGGAGGACTGGGTGGGCATCTCTGGTACTGTACTAAACTGGTTCAAGTCCTATCTAGAAGACAGGAAGTATTTTGTTGAAATTGGAAACTGTGTCTCAGATCACATGGCCCTGACCTGTGGGGTGCCTCAGGGGTCAATCCTGGGCCCCCTGTTGTTCAATCTCTACATGCTGCCATTAGGCCAGTTAATAAGCAGCAATAATGTGTCCTACCACAATTATGCAGACGACACTCAGATCTACGTCTCTCTGGCAGCAGGAGACTATGGACCAGTGGAGTCACTTGGTCATTGCATCCAACAGATCAGTGTGTGGATGCAAAACAACTTTCTCCAGCTAAACTCTGACAAGACTGAAGTCATAGTGTTTGGTCCACAGAAACAAAGGGACAGTGTCAGCAGTCACCTCCAGTCTCTCTCTCTCTAAAACCTTCAAATCAGGCAAGAAATCTAGGGGTAATAATGGACTCAGACTTGAACTTTAACAGCCACATCAAATCAATAACATCTGCAGCCTTTTACCATCTAAAAAACATAGCAAAAATCAAAGGTTTACTGTCTAAAGCAGACTTGGAGAAACTTATCCATGCGTTTGTCTCCAGTAGGTTTGACTACTGTAATGTTCTGCTCACTGGTCTCTCCAAACGAGCTGTGAGACGCTGCAGAACATCCAGAACGCTGCAGCTCGGGTCCTTACTCGAACTAGGAAGTACGAGCACATAAGTCCTGTGCTCAGGTCTCTGCACTGGCTCCTGTGCCTCAGAGAATAGAGTTTAAAGCAGCTCTGCTTGTGTACAAGTCTCTCCATGGCCGAGCACCAAAGTACATCTGTGACATGTTAGTGTCATATGAACCATCTCGCACTCTGAGGAGCTCAGGGACTGGCCTCCTGCTGGTGCCCAGAGTCAGAACTAAACAAGGGGAGTCAGCGTTTCAGGTTCATGCAGCTAAAACCTGGAACAGTCTTCCTGAACATGTGAGACAGACTCTTCTGTGACGCTGTTTAAATCCAGACTCAAAACATTTCTGTTTAACTGTGCATATGACTGAAAGGTTTTCATTCTGCACTCCTCTCTCCAATTTATGTCTCTCTTTTTTAATTTTAATCTTCATGATTATTTATGTTTTGATTTGTTTTTATTATGATTTTAATGTATTTCTTATTCTGTAAAGCACTTTGAATTACTTTGTGTACGAATTGTGCTATACAAATAAACTTGCCTTGCCTTGCCTTGCCTATAACGATCACCGGTAGAATACTACAAAATACCCAGCCGGAAGACAAAATAAGAAAAAGAGAGTCGTCTAGTTAATGAGCTGCTCTGTTTATAATTCACTCTTTGGGCAAGCGGTTAAAACTAAGACATGATAAGATACACACATCTTTTTTTAAATTGTAACTTGTTTACGTGTAAAATAGGATGGTCTCAAGAAATTTACCAGCGTCCCATATGGTCTAGCGGTTAGGATTCCTGGTTTTCACCCAGGCGGCCCGGGTTCGACTCCCGGTATGGGAACGACTTCTTTTCCAATCTGCACACGTGACGAAATCACGTATACAATTTACCAATACATATATACTAATGTGAGATTATATAACTGAGTGACTTAAACGTTGATGACATATATAGATATAGCTCATATATATATATATATATATATATTTTTATATATCTAAGTCCAAGCAATATTTTATTTCTTTTCAATTTGGCAATACAATTTTAAATGATCATAATCTTTATTTCCATTAAAACCATTAAAAACACAATCGCACGTGTGCGGGTCACTTAGTTGTAATTTTTTTTTCATGAAACTTTATTAGGCTGCTACACTGTAACTGTAAACACTGTCTTGGAAATGGACAATGTATGTCATCAGTTATTCAGATTGTAACATAAAAAAGAATTTATTTTACACAATGCAAAAGTTAACCAATTTAATATTTAAATTTTGAAAAACACATTTTTTACAGCTGAAGCCAATTAAACATGGCATTCTTCAAGTAACATCTAAAAGATGACACAAACCAGCAGCTACATCTGTAAACATAACTTCAAACAAGAATACTATAATACAATCAATGTGCAAAATACAGTGTGTAAGGGGAAAATAGAGTACAAATAAATGAAGGAACGGTCTGCTGCTTGTCTAAGACTCTACAGACTTTTGTATTATTCTTTAAAGATTTAAATCTTAGGAAATATGCAAGATTTTTTTGAACCATCCCTTTATTTCAGTCTTCAACAAAAAGCAAATGAGATGTAATGAAGACTACGCAGTTGTGGCAGTGCAAACAATGAGAAAATTGTTTTGAACTAGCAATGGATTTATTAATTACAAAATAAGTTTGCTAAAATAAGAACTTTTTAATGGTTTGGAAGAACTATTTCTGGGAAAAAGATTTAAAGGACTAACTGGCTAGGCGCACTTAGCAGTCACTTTGTTTTCTTAATTACACTCTTGTTTGCATGGTATAAAAGGTTCACGGTCAGTGGCTTTAACTAAAATAACACCTTAACAAAGTCAAGAGGAATCTTGCATATTACCCAAGTTTTACATTAGTACACAACTTGTGCTTTGAGGGGCATACAAGTTATTCTAAAACTAAAAACATCAGTGACAGAACATAAGCCAAAAATCCTTTGTAGTTCTTAGAATTTTTTTCCCCTATTTTCCAGTATATGATTTAACGCTATTGATTAAAACATTGGAAAAGTTTGTTTTAGACTTGGAGGTGTAAAAATGTACCTACTGCTGCACTAAAACAGAAATCCATCTTAGAGAAACAGGTCTAACGCACTGAGTGCATCTTCTTCCATCTCACTCGGTCTTTCGACTGCAGCCTGAGACATAAATTCATCTAAAAAGTCTGCCCCATCTGCCCCAGTAGATGGCTGTACCACTGTATTTGATGATATCTCTGCCCTCACAGTGGCTTCTTGTCCGTTAGCCAACATCTCCAGGAAGTCCGTGCTATCTGGTGACAAGTTACTAGTTATTGTAGTAGCTGGGGAGAGGAGATCTGAGAAAAACTCGTCATCCAAAGTGCTGGAGGTGACTGTGTTTGGTGAAAAATTATTAGTGCTATCCGGTTTAAAGCTGTCTCTTCCTGACTGTCCCAACATTTCATTCAACTTTGCTAGTTTTTTCTTCTTTGCTTTTAATTTTTTGAAGAGCTTGTACCTAAGCGCTTCAGTCTCACTTAGTCCTGAAGGCATTTTGGATGATTTTATTTTCTTATAGGATGTTATGTTATTGGCAAGTCCCGCAATTGACGTATTTTGTGAATTATTATTAACGACTGTGTTATCTTTTATAGCTTTATGAACAGGTGACTCAAGAGGCATTTTATTTACATTTGTAGTAGCAGAATTGGGTTTTGTGTTCTTGGATCCAAACGCTCCATACATGTCTGCTGCTTTCAAAGGCAGACCTTCACTGTTTTCTGTCTTAAGCACTGGTTTAGGCGTGACTTTAACTGTCACAGCCCCCCTCTGCTGTGGGGTTGATGGGATAGGATTCACCCTCTTCAATTGTATAGCTGGCTTCTGGTTCAAATTGATTTTAGATGTGTTCTGTATGTGCCCAAGTGACCGTTCAAGCAGGTGGGACCAGCCTTTTTGCTCTGGTTGGATCAACGAAGGAGCTTGAGGGACAATTAGAAGTGTAGGTACAGTAGAGGAGACCGGAGAAATGGGCTTTGAAGTTGCAGAACGACTAGATTTGCATTGAACAGGAGTAGTGAATATACTTTTAGTAATATTTCCTTTTTGAGCATCTACTTTAGGTCTTTTAACTTGTTTAGTAGTCACTGTCCTTGCTCTCTTTCGTCTTCTTTTAGATTGAGGCTCAAAAGTTGGATCATTAGCCAGGTTGTCTTCTTCAGATACAGAATCTTCTGGTTCAGACTCAGAAGAAAGTTCATTCTCCTGAGATTTTTCTATTGTCTCTATGGTCGAACTGTCTGGAGCAGGCGCAGTAGCATCTTTGATTGAATCCTGTATTTCACTGTTAACATTTTGACTTTTTAAATCTTTCACTTGTTCAGTTTCACACTCGGTTGAATTGGAAAGTGGCTGTTTGGAGTCTTCCTTAATTTCAACTAATGTAAGTGTGACAATGTCATTATGCGTTAGTCCTTCAAAGGTGTCTAGTAGCGTAGTGGAACCAATTGTTGTATCAACCTCTGCTGTAACTGTGGTGTCCTGTTCAGAGATGCAGTCCGTAATGTCGGAAATGTTTTGGGGATTAAGAAGCGACTGGTCAGGAGAGCATTGCAGCAGCTCATTTGTGATAATGTCCAAGTCTGTTGCACTGTGGTTGATGTGCTTTGTGGATGGGGGAGATTCTGTGAAGGTGGTGGATGGAGAACATGCCCGAGACGCCTGGCGCTGCTCTTCCTCCCAAAAAACAACATGGATTTCGTGAGCTGGCACTGGGAGAGTCTTGAACGATTGACAGTGAGGGTGTTTCAAATCGTCAAACTCCACCCATAACCCTGCAACACATTAAACACACTTGAACACTATAAACAAAAGTAAGAGGTATGCACAAGCTTTATGAGGGCAGGGGAAAAGTTTATAAAGCCGGTTTGTGGTGGGTAGTTTAACACATCCTCTGTTAGAACAATCTGCTGTAAACTTGTACTTAACATGGATACATCTTGGACTTTGACCAATTACTGAAATGCCCTCTTATTAGGAGATCTGTTACACAAATTTATTTTTTAATAGAGCAGAAATTAACACCTTACTAAACTGGGTGATGACTGCTTAAATGTGTTGACTGTTGAGGTTAGCAAAAAGGGCAGGAAAAGATCAGTGTAGGACAATTACCCTTTTGAACCCATTAAAAGCAATTAATTAGACTTTAAGAGGTCACTTAGTTAATGTTATATTACCAGCCACTGCATCAAGCTACTAATTTCATTTTTATCTCAATTAGTAAAATGTTTAGCCACAAATTTAAAACACAGAAACAATGTTGGCCTGCCATGTCACAGTATATGCCAAACAAAATTAATAACAAAACTAGGGCTGTGACTAATTATTTTACTAAATCGATTCATCTAGCTATTATTCCTTTGATTAATCATTTAGTTGTTTAGGTCATGAAAGGCCCATGAATGAGATTTTCCTAAACTGTACCCAGATAAAGAAGTGAAGCCACTTTACAGCATCCTGGTGGAACATATGTACAAAAGAATACTAAATTTACAAATTGAATTAGTAATTTATGCCATTCCTGATCTGTCTGAATTATAAAACCTCTTCTTTCAGCTCATGACAGGTTTTGGAGCCTATGTATAAACCAGGTAACGATTATTTGAGTACTGAAATAGTTGACAACTATTTCAATAATCATTTAGTTGTGTTCTAAACAGAAAGGGAACCTGCTGAAAAACAAGTTGAACTGAGTCAAGCTTAATTCATGTTTTTAGTGATCTTTTCCTACATAAAAACAGTATTATCACAATTCAAAATGTATCTTATTATTTTCTTCATAAAACCTAGTAAAAATCATTTGTAACACTGACTTTTCATTTGTGCAATTTTCACACATAAACAATTCCAGTTTATTCCTACGTCTGAACTCTGCTCCAAACATGATTTTACTGACAATCATGAACTGACTGTAGATCTCTCAAATAATAAGACCAAAGCTGATCATGGATCATTTCAAATTACTGGATCTAGATTCTATATAATTTGGTTAAACATGCATCTAAAATGTGTCAATTCTGAAGTTTGAAAATAATAAGTTAAAATAGCCAATTAAGATGGAAAAGTTACCACTTCATAGCAAAGGAATTTTGAAAACATTTTACACTTACCATCAGATTTATGAATCCAAGTGACAAAGTGCTTGAGTTGACTGCTGTACTGAATGATAGCTGTGACTGAGTAGGGCTTTTTCTTGAAGCTGAAGTTATAGACTTGTATGTTGTTGTCAGGAAGTCCCTCAACAAAGTGCAGGGCAAACACAGGGGGAACTCTGATGAACCAGGAAAAAAATTAGTTGGCCATTTTTTCTCAAAGCACAAATGTATCACAACCAGTCCAAACTCACCCCTGTAGCACCATTTTCCGTCTCTGGTTTTTCTTGTGGCAGTTGTTGCAGGGGGCCAGGTGAACTGCTCTGAGTGGATGCCAATCAGGAACAATGTTTGTGAAAGTGGGAAGCGTCTTCACAACACTATAATGAAGAATAGCATGTCATTCAACATAAGATATGCAGTTTGAGATGAGACTAGATCTGCTTCATTTTTTTTTTCTCTTAAATTTCAGGGTTATAGATACTTTTCTGTCATATTTTAAATTGCCCATCACCTGTAAAACAAACAAACAACTATACTCACTTCTCTTTTGTGTTGCTTTTGCATTCAGTGCATCTAAAATCCCAGTAAAATGTGGACTGGAAGAGTGACTCCAACCAAGAATCCAGTTTCAGCAAGAGAGGCAGAGCAAAAACTGGAGTTTCATTCTCACCTGGAAACAATATATATATAATAAATAAACATGGTATTGGTATCAGCACATTGAATCAAATTTAAACAGTATAATTCAAAAATGAAAACAGATTAACAATTAACAAAACAAAAAATGAAAAAATCCAGTCTTACCAAGTTTGCATTGAAGCTTTGGCTGCAGACGACTGAAGATTGACATCCGTAAAGTTTCAAGATCTGTGTTGATTTTGTGCAACAAGTGTTTTGGGACCTTCAAAAAGCCACCTAGATAAATGAAAAATGGCAAATAGTTAAGCTCTAAAACAACAACATATTACAGGAAGAGAAAGCTACAAGTACAAAATAACACAATTAGGACTAAATGTATAGTTCTTAGTTAAAAATGAATTTGTTTTGCATGTTATTTCAGGCTAACAATACTTTCAAAGCTTATTCCATATACATTTCCAATAAAAAGACCCTCACTGAACACCAGCTCATTCAAGTAAATAAGTCCATTGCCAAGATTAACCTTTTATGTTGTTTAAGCTGCAAATACTTTCAATACACTTGACAACTAAAAAAAAATACTACACTTTATACAATAGGAGTCAGGAAGCAGTTTGTCTGAAGGTAAATAGTACAAGCAACAGTTTAGTAATTGCTCCTCCTTACCTTTGTCAGTCTGTTGTTGACTCTGAATGGTTGCATATGCTTCATCAAAACCTGCCAGAAGTGTCGACATTAGCGACTGTTCAGGCTCATCTTTGGGTTTTAAGTTCCTTAGGCTCCTTAAATTAACTAAAGCTACAAGCAGAGAGTCCAGCCAGCAGAGGTTATCTTTATTTTTCCAGAAAATTTCAACTGGAGCAGAAACAAGCTCCTTCTCGGGGTTTGTTTCTGTAAAAGACATGTTATCAGTTTCTGAGTGGATAACTTCAGTATCCGAAAGCATCGACATGTTCTGAACAATCAACATGGGTTTGGTGGTTCCCAAAGCTTCAGTCTGCACAGGCAATGGATTATTCTTAATAGGAGATACATCCCCATCTAGTAAACTGCAGCCTCTATCCAGTGTCACCATTTTTGCAAAGCTATGGCCTTTTCCATTTAGTCTGGCATCAATACAGGAAAGCTCTTCTTGATTGTTGATTGTTTGTAAGGTTTTTGAGAAGTCTTCCTTGTCCTCAGTTGTTTCCAGGAAAACATTTTGATTATCTGTACAAGAATCCAAGTCCTTATCACGAATACAGACTTTTTGTTGATGCAATTCCAATTGGTTTGTTTCTGAGCCATCACAATGACCATCTACAAGTTCCACATCTAAAGCTCGTCCATTGCAGGTATCAACCGTATTGTGCACATTGTCATCTTTGGAAGCACTTGTTTGTGACTCTGAGCTTTCAAGTTCTTTTAATCGTGGGCGTTTTGGTGAGGGTTCATTATTGGCCTCAAGTGTTAAGGGACTTTTCCTTTTGGTTCCAGCAGCCGACTCCACAGGCTCCAAGCTCGCCAAAACATCCTCCAAAGGCCGACTGACCAATGGAAATAGGCACTGAAACGGAATAGAACAACTCCAAACTATCAGAGACAAAATATATATATAACTTAGACAGACAATTATTGTATTGTGAGACTACCTGTGGGTTTGTGCAGAGCTTTATTGACTCCTCTAAATTTAAGTGATAGGAGCGCAGAGCATAGGTCTGATCCTTTGCATGGCACCAGGGACAGTGGTCCATGGAAGCAGCTCTTTCCTGAACCTAGAAAAAGACATGACAGTTATTACAACAGAATTTGAATATTGCAAAATGTAACCAAATGCTTCAAATTGACTTCATCTATGTGTATTGCATTGAATACATTGAGGACAAACTGTAAAACAAAAAAATACAGCCAAAAAGTTTGTCTAACCCTTTCTGTATAGAAAAAAATTAACAAAATGTTTAACACATTTGCAACAACCAAGGCTTCTGAAGCCAAACTTTTCGCCTTTTACCAAAGATTTCCATTTTCTGTTGTGAAAATTTGGATTGGTACTGCTTGTTTACAGTATTTTTCAAATATAATTCAGCTTTGCGCTAGTGACAACAGGAGAGGAGTGCTTGAGTTGTACTGACTTTTCCCAAATACCCCACCATCGGTGAGGCTACAGCCTCCAAACCAGTGTCTTCGCCAGCCATTGGCAAACCACAGGCGCTTCTTGAGATCACAGGGGACAGAAACCAATCCGTGAATATTACCATGTCACCACCACCTGGCTCACCACCAACAGAGCTGCGAAAGAAACGAAAAAGACAACGTATTACAAATAATATTAATCTATAATGCCAGCTTCAAGTATGCATTTACACGTAAATACAAGTCGGCATTAAAGTGTAATGTGAGTTTGTGATGGGAGCTGTGCAGCATGAGGTCCAGCTGATCAGAACAACAGAAACTGTCAAAATGAAGAAATTTAAATGATCTATACTTCTAACTGGACAAGACATAATATTCATCTTCATAGGTATTCATCTTCATTACAGAATTAGGATACTTTCGAACCACAAGTATCAAATAAGGTAACTTTAATACTAAGTACAAACAGCTTTAGATCGGTATAGCTTACACGTGTGGACTCGCGCGTCGTGCTGTTTGGGGCGGTTCAGAATGAATAAAGCAATACTTACCAAAACCTAATAATTACATATTCCTTACTACAGCCTTGTATTCTGTAATATACAAAATAATATATTCGCTGATGGCCTGTAGGTCGTGGTTAGCTCCATGTGCACCGTTTCATTTCGTGTGGGAATCGTCCTTTTTCCGCCGGCGGTGTCGCAGCCTTCCGTTTCCTTCAGAAACAACACACCACTGATGGACAAAGGTTCCGCAGCTGCTGCCTCCTCTCGGTCTTTCAGTGAAGTGCATAAAACTGCTATTGTTCATGTAGGTGGCACCAGCCATGACTGTGTAAAAATGATGAGATGTCTTAACATAGGATATACAAGCTATGTTACTCGTTCTTGCCATTTGTGGAATTTTCTGTATTTTTTATTTATTTATTATTTATTTATTTTTTTTTTACAATGGTTAGGTAACTCTTCATTAGATTTCTTGGCCTACCTAGTTTAATCCCTCTTTATGAAAATTATCATAATTAATTTAAAAGAACTTGCATAGCCATGTGATGATGCACTGTTAATGAACTGTTTTTATGACAATTTACAATGATTAAACTTTAAATTATATAATTTAACAATCTAATTCGAATTAGCAATTTACACATACTAAAAACTGATTATCTGCAATTTACAATTAGAATATTAATGTTTATTTAAACAAATGAGCCAAAAGATGACAGTAATAACCATGAGATAGGTAATATTCACCATGACATAAAAAAATTAAATTACTATAATTTAATATTATTGTATTATTGTAATTTGGCAGCACTTCATTCATTTAAGCCTTTCCAGTTATTTTTGAACCCCCAGTATTAGGGTGGAGCTGTTGGAGGGGGAGGGATTGGGGTTACATATGTCACTCACATTCATACTACACACAGCTTTCACACCTCCTGTCTTTGTACACCCCCACCCAGCCATGCACATATTCACAGACGTGCGTGCACATGTCTCCTTTTCTCTGCTGCTCGTCCCGCCTTCCGCGTGTGCCCTCCTCCCAGAAGCCCCTCCTTATCTGCTCCTCTCCTGTCCTCTATTTTCCTCCTGATGACAAAATGAATTTGCATATTTTTCCCAGGGAGCACTCATTAGAATGCATAAACTGGCCGTCTGCGAGCCTCACGAGCAGCTATGGCTTTCTGCTGTGGCATCTCCTGATGCAAAAGACACAACAGAATCAGACTGTGGCCTGCGTCTGGCTGTGATTGGCATTTGGATCACTTCATCCAGCCCATTTTTAATCAGGGTTAAGAAGAAACTCTGTCAGCCATTTTCCTTTGTTTCCATTTTAGCATACAATAGCTACTTTTATTACATATGTATATTTAATTGGATGTACTGGATATTGGGGGTCATGCCCACATGCACCAGTCTAGAATACATTAGATTACATTTTGCAAATGAGCTTCAAACAACTTTGCTTGCACACATCAAGCAGTCATGCAAGACTTTTAAATTAGTTAAAACGTGGTGTTGCCTTCAATATTGCCTTTTAAATAAGTCAGGATTCAGAATGGTAAGTCTTTTTTTGTTCCTTAACTGCCATTCTAAAAAAAGATATACTAATGACTTCATTGCAGTAAGCAGACCAATCTGGTGGTGGCGCTATAGGGGGCATACCCCCATTGTGGAGGCTTAGTTTGAACACTTCGACCTTCCCCTGTTAATGCAGGCTAAAAGTTACAAACTCTAGTAAACATCTAATAGGATATTATCTACAGCTGTCCCAGTGAAAGTTTCCTTGACCTACACTGAGGAGTTCTGCACATACAGCATATACTCATGTACTCACAGAGCTTTACTTCATGAAGAGCCTCCTCCTCTGAGACCGAGACTGTGACAATGACAATGAAGTGATGCATACATCCTTCAGCCCTCATCTGCAATGATAGGCACCAACAAATACTCATGAATAGACACCTATTTGTAGAAAACAAGACTAGACAAACATGTTTATGTGGGTTGGTTAAGGATGCCAAATGTTTGTGCTGCCTTTTTGTTTTTAAAAGAAACATTGTGATTTTCAATAGTCAAAATTTTCCACACCATGATAAAAGGATATACTAAAACTTCATTTTAGTTATGTTTAGTCAACTTACTTATGTAAATGATTAGACCTATACCTGTCTTTATAATATTATAAATTGAGTAGGACAATATTTTCCTTTGCAACATAATAAGATGTTTACACTGTTGATTTTAAAGTCTATAATAATAATAATAATACTTACATATATTTATTCCAACCTATTATCTCATGTATTGATTGACATCCCAATGCATCTAACAGACACGGTGCACAATTTAAATACACAACCTGAACTTTAGGAGCAAATACCAGCTAATTTATGTCTGTGTTTTATATCAAAACTGTACTATTAAAATATATGTAACATCTCTCAGTAAGGTGGATAATATAGGGCATACAATGTGGATAAGCTTATACCAAGTTACCACTGTTTGTGTGCAATACATGACTCTGACTAAGAGAGAAATTATGATAAATTATGTATTAATTCACTATACCCTATATATAACATATACATATATATACACATATATATATATACATATACATACATATATATATATATACATATACATACATATATATACATATACATATATATATATACATACATACATATATATAAATATACACATACATATATATAAAGGTTAATTTAATTTATGCATTATTTATTACAGCTCTTAAGCAGAGCTATGTATTGCACATTGCACATAAAAATAAAATGTATTTATGTTACTAATTCTTACAAAGAATTACCCTATTTAAACATTAGAGATGTCATTATGCTCTAACTCCCAATCTGTTACATACAGGCCTGTTCATACCATGTTGCAATTATGTGGGTTTAATCATGTTTGTTTTTGTGTGGTGAACGTTTTAGGAGGACATAAAGTTATTTCTTTGATAAAGAAAGCTTTCAGTCCCGTACAGGACTATTAAAATAACATGAGTTTTACAGCATTAGAATAGATGGATAAACTTCAATATTAGCACGTATGCTAATTCTTGTCCATGAACTGTGCTTTAGAGGTTCAAATAAGATGCATATTGAATGCGTTCATACCTATATATAATGCTGTCTGTCTTCTAATAATTGTCCATTAGTATAAATAGGGCGATATGGATTCAATAGGAAACAGTGCTGTGTATGCATGCCTAATGTGTGATATCCTATATCTATGACAACAAGCCTAAAAATTTATTTCCAGTGAGTCCTCGTATGATATAGAAGAGCTAAGTGCGTGTTATGTCTTTAAAACATCGAAATTCGCTCGTCTGAATAAGTGGTAATTTCGCAAATAGGCTAGTTGTATTGAAGTTAATGCACAATAGTGTTTGTTGATGAAGAGGGTTTGAGCCCGTCCAACACGAGCGCACCTGGTTTCACAGCTGCCTGGGTCCGTGGCTGCATGCGCTCCTCGTCCGCTCATTCATTTAACTCGCCTACTACTGTACACTGTGCTCAACGTAGTGAATTCAATACTATGGCAAGCTCACTACACTACTCTCAGCTCCAGCATGCTCCCACTGAAATATTTTTGTATCCGCCCGCCACGGAAAACTTCAGTGACGTTTCACAAAAGCCAGCCAATCAGACGTCGTCTTCCATTAGGACAATGAAAAGCTCCTGACCAATCAGTGGAGCGGCAGACCGGCCTGTGGCCAATGGCGTGCGAGCTCCGCCGAGAGTAATGTTAGTGAGCTGAAGACTGAAGACACTGCGTATCGCCTGTGTTCCTCACACAGCCATTGCAGAGCATTGAGATCCAGCCACAGTCACTAGGTAAGTATAATTTAGAAGTGTCTGAAATTACGAAAACGACGATAACATTCAAAGATACGCTACTGATGAGTCTATCTATATCATCTGTAATATTTTTCATTGTTTGTCGACATTTTTACTGAGGTGATCTGTGAAAAACAACAAAAACAGCCGGTCTCGTTATTACTCAGCCAATGAGTAAGGACCAGACGCTCTAGAAAATTGGAGAAATAAAAATTAATTGTTCGTATTTTTGAAGGAAATCGACGATTTTGTTAAATGCGAAATATTTTATATAATGCAGTCGTGTTGTTTTAACAAAATGGAGTAAAATCTCACGTTTGTTTCGGCGTAAAAATTCGGTAATGTCTAGCGGACAGCACGGTTAGCGACAATGGTAAAAGACTCACCGTTAGCCATTGCCATTGCAGTGCATTGCGAAGCTGATGCCTGTCATGTGAAGACTGGAGGCGTGCGGGTCAGAAAGCAAACATCAAAATTCACGAAAACATTGGAAAAAGATTGATCGTGTTAAACTATGTATAGATATGGGTCTGTTCTTTAATTTTTACCTCACAAGTCGATGAAAAAAATCTTCTTCGATCTGCGCTTTACTGTAATGGCTGACTGTATTCGCATAGGAAACAAGGCAGCGAGGCAAATGGGAAGCCAGCGACAGAGGCGCAGTTCAGATCAACTTTTTCTAACCTGGTTTTCTCGCGAAACAAACCCGCAACTATGAGATGTAACGACGGCAAAAGAAAATTCCATCTTTCATCTTTCCAACGAGGCCATTTTGAGATTTTTCCGATGCTGTTTAATGGTTTAAATAGACGGTTGAAATGAAGTGGTCGCCACGGTCGCTCTGCCCTCTATTGCATGCAGTGCAATGGCTGTGCGCTGACACAAAGAGAAGGAGCCATATTCTCCATGTTAGTGGATGAAGACGAGCGGCCATTAGGAGCTCATAGAAACCCAGTCAGTAGCACAGCCCGCTCATAGACATAGTACAGACCCAATGTATTACTATACAAGGCGGCTAGTGCAATAGGATTCAATCGGGCAAATATTTGGTCAGGATCCGCGGCGTTTTGGAGAGATTTGTCGTGTTGCAAAGCGAACTGAGAGGCGGGAGGAGACATTTGAGGGGGACTTTCTTTCATGAAGAAGGCATTCTCACAAAATGGAAGAAGAAATATTGCCGTCGTTGTTGACCTCCTTTCCCTCAACGAGAGCCTATGCGCCATTACTACTTGGGTCGACGCAGACTTGCACAGACTTACAGTAGCATTTAATAGCAATATGTAAAGGCAAAAATACGAGTTTTTACAAAATAAGCAAATCTTTTCGAACTGTTTTCAAATCGAAGTAGAGGATATATTAGAAGTATAAAAGGCTCATATGACCACGAATAGTCGTCATAAGTGTCGCATTTTTAATAAAAACGTGTTTTTATAGAATTTTTGTCTTTTTATGTCAAAGTTGTTCTAATGATATAAACATTGTCAAAATCGAATAAAATCATTTCTAAGTGGTCTTTTCTTGTCACATATGAGGTTTAAGGACATTTTGTGAAATTTACACAAAGCATTTTATTTGAGCTTAGGTAATGGTCCTAGAAAAGTGAAGTTATTGCAAGTTATGGGAGCGGACCAAAAGCGCGCAGCCAAGAGATACGCAATTATAATTATGATCTATATGTCTTTAATTTACATCGATTTATTAATTTATTATTTATTTCGGGGATTTGTGGGAGGTGACTAGGGATCTATATTAGCTATTATTTGCTTAATAAAGCTGCCAAAAGCTTTAAGTATAAACAAGTTTAGTTTTTTTTTTAGCATATCAGCCTAGAGCGGCTGTTGTTTATAGCGGGATGCAAGGTTTAAGTTTGACAACAAGGAGGGCGGGACAGTAGCGGTCAGTGGAGACGCGTAAAAGGAGGTGTCCATGATGGAGAGAAAGAGGAGCGGCAGGTAGTGAAGTGTAATTAACATTATAGATGGTGCCAAATAAAAGATTCCAAAATGCCCATGCAGTATTATTAATTAACGATGTTAGTTTACTATTATTTTAAAGCATTTTATCACATTTTGATATGTCTTTAAAAATAAATGTATTTGTTGTAGATCCAATTGCCAAGATGGGGAAAGATCCATGTAAGCCGAGGGGGAAGATGTCCTCCTATGCCTACTTTGTCCAAACCTGTCGAGAGGAACATAAGAAGAAGCACCCAGATGCTTCAGTCAACTTTGCCGAGTTCTCCAAGAAATGCTCTGAACGGTGGAAGGTATGACCAAATAAGACTACATCTCTACTATTTAGCCTTATTTATTAGTTTAATGTGTACTTTAAGTGATTGGCAAACTTTTCATCATAGAAAATATTTGGCTTTTGAATTGCAATGATTTATCAACTAAATGGGTCAAAATAGGGAATGGGAATTTTAGTTTATCCAAAGAAATGTATTCCTAAAGAAGCATTATGACCAGGTTGAAATATTGAAATATTCATAGGAACAGTAATCTCATAACGTGGGTCTAGTACTGACTCAAACCTCACCATAACCCCAAAAAGTATCGGAAGTATAAATGAGAACGTGTCCACAGTTTTAGAACTTCTGATACAACAATAATCATGATGTATGATTATTATATCATTTAGTGATATAACGCACTAGGTTGAACATTAAATGGACAGCATATCGCAGGCTATTGTGACACATATTGTCCACTTTTAGACAATGTCTTCCAAAGAAAAGGGCAAGTTTGAGGACATGGCCAAACAGGACAAGGCCCGTTATGAGCGCGAAATGATGAACTATGTGCCACCAAAGGGCAGCAAGAAGAAGAAGTTCAAGGACCCCAATGCCCCCAAGAGACCCCCGTAAGTACTACAAGCCTCCACTTAAGAGCTTTTATAGTCTCTTGAAGGCAGATGAATAATGCATAACTAAGTCCAAATCTAAACTACTGTCAATATTAACTTTTTTACATTTTGTTTGCAGATCTGCATTCTTCATCTTCTGCTCGGAGTTTCGTCCCAAAGTGAAGGGTGAGAATCCAGGGCTGACCATTGGTGACGTGGCCAAAAAGCTGGGAGAGATGTGGAACAGCACTGCCGCGGAGGACAAGCAGCCATACGAGAAGAAGGCCCTCAAACTGAAGGAGAAGTATGAGAAGGTGAGGAGAGCAAATACTGTTGCATCTTTTGGACATCTACATTTTGTTTTTGAGAGCTATGAAACTATTAAATTGTATATAATAAGTACCAGCAATCTCAGTTTAGTGTTAGAGAATGAGATGGATTTCACTGCTGTGTGCACCAGTATTCAATTAATCAAATGAAAGTGTATAATCCTGTCATCCAATAACAGTTGGTTATGGAAAATACAGGTTGTATCACAGCTGGTGTGTATTTCAGGTAAAACTTCTACCTTAGGAGTTAAAACAATCACAACACGTGCCATTTTGAAAACTTTCCAGGCCCAATCTGGCCCAGCCGCCCCAAACTAAACAGTCACTTGTCTACCATTTCCTTACATTGTGTCTGCCACATTTTCCCAGGACATCGCTGCTTACCGCGCTAAGGGCAAGACCGGTGGTGCTCCTCCGGCCAAAGCTCCCAAAATGGAGAAGAAGGATGAGGATGATGATGACGATGATGAAGATGATGAAGAAGATGAGGAGGATGAGGAAGATGATGAATAGAGCGCTCCCTCATGGTCATTTGTTTATAAAGCATTTAACCCCCTTGTACACTTCACTTACTGAAATACATTAGTAACTTCGGAGGGGGTAATGAAAAAAAATACAAAAAAAGGCTGTGTATATCAGTTGTTTTTATGCTGTACAGTTTTTTTCTCCTTTTTTGTATAGTTAACACTACACAGGTTTTGTGTCTTATTTTCCCAGTGGTAGATATTAGACCACTGTCCCGCCCAGTACAGTGTAAAGTGGGGCGGGCAAACAGTACTATATACCGTATAGCTCTAGAAGTGCACTGCACATAAAAATACTTAGATAATCTGAGTGGTTTCTTTATTTTTCCTTTTCGTGTGTTTGTTATTTTAAATGACATGTTATCAGAAATGGACGTATCACCGTTGTTTTACTGATCTTTATGTACCACTGTAATGGCAGAAGTAAGAAAAAAGCCTTGTTTATTGTTGAAATTTAAATTGCTTCTGATGTCAATAAACATTTTTTTTAATATGTTGGACTTTGATTGAATTTTTTAAGGCAGCAGCGGTAATACTATTTGAGCAAAGACGCTACACAGTTGATCAGGAATATATGTCAATCTAAAAGGCTTCAGTATAGTGTTGTATCCTAAACATAATATAATATTGACCAGCTCTGTACATAAGGGAGAATATGTTTCACTTACGAACAAAATGAACATAGAGCTACATGTAAAAGCTATTGCTGCTCTTGCTCCATTATTGTACATAAATAATATGGTTAATTTGTCCTATATTAATTAATTAATATTCAAATAACAGTTAAGGGTTGCAAGTAACTAGAGTATTTCCCAGCAACTCAAGGTGTAGCATGCATTACTTTCTTGGCAGTATAATTGTGTTTCAAATCCACTTGACTAGGGTGACTTAAATACACAATAACAAGCACACATAAGAAACATGAATCATGGTTTTATTTATACATTTTCAGTGTGGTTACACAAACACACTCCTTTGGTGTAGGACGATGTAGACCCATCATCTGGCTCTAAACATGCATCACTGACAGACAATTTCTGTTTTATTTAGATACAGCTGTTACCCTTACGTACCACTCTCTAGGTCCCATTTATATAAGAAGGATTATGTGCTTTGAAAAAACGGTGACATAAGAATATGGCTGATGTGGGACAAACTGCTGTGGGACAAATCCAGAGGTACATAACAGATATTGTTAAGTGGAGAGTGGCAGGTCCCAGGACAGTGAAATATCAGCTACATAAAGGCTGGGGTCCATGGGGTCAATCTATAGGTCCCCATCTTCATTTAGTCAAAGTCTGGTCGAACCCCCCTTCTCCTAAAATGCACCATTCAATACTGGTGCCCATGCCTCCAGACTTTTGCTGAATACGTTTGTTTCCCATGAAAAAGCTAAATAGGCTCATACAATGGGCTAACCACAATGTAACAGCTGCAGTGCACTGTCCCATCTCTGGATTGCATGTCTGTATCATAATTTGTTCCCACCTTGATCCTTAGAACAGAAAGTGGAGCCTGTATGTGGTGACTACATTGTGTTTAGGAAATGCATTACCCACTCTTCTGGCTATTCCAACATTTAACCCTGGGACACCATAAATGTGCTGACTAACTACACTGGGTAATGGAAGCAGCTAACAGAGAAAATGACTAGAAATGAAGAACAGGTCAAAAAAAGGCAGTCCCTAATAATTTATAGCCTAATAAATGACGTCTAATTGTCAGTCTTATGATTTTAAAACTTCAAACCAGGGGACATTGTTAACATGGATTTGCAATAGGTTACATTACACATTTATTAAGAAAGACTACAGAACAATAACTAAACCGTAAGATCAGTATAACAACATAATAATAATAATAACTAATGAGTACAGTACTAATCAGACAATGTTCATATTTGTGCTAAATGTCCTTTGGCCTGCTAACAGCACAACAGAGCAGAGCAGTTGAGAGCAACATTTGCACCAGACTGTCCCGGGTCAAAGATAGGAGCAGGGGAGAAACTATGTCCAACAGTTGTGGAGGCCCAGTGCGCGCTCAGCTGTTCACAGTGTGGCTCTGTACAGGCTTGAACAGCACAGGCAGTAATAGTACATAGCAGCAGCAGCAGCAGCAGCAACAGCAGCAGCAGCTTTAGCACACCACACACCGCCTCCGAGGCTCTGTTTAATCCCGGCCACCTGGCGTTCACTGTGCGCTGCTCCAAGTGCGGTCTCACGGCGACACCTAGAGACCGGCCTATGTCATAGCACAAACATCATTCCTGGACCTTGGCCCATGGGTGATATGGCAAAAAAAAAAAAAAAATAATAATAATACAAATTAAAAACATTTATTTTTATATTATCTTTTCTAAGCCACCAGCTTCTTC